TTCTTTCCGCTCATACGTAAGTAAGTAGGTTTTGATAAGGTCAGACCCTTTCATCTCTAGACTTGCCAGCTGCCATTTAACTTCAGTGACAAGTTTTCATCTGTGAATTCTGCAAGCTGGACTATTGTGTTTGCAGTATCCTCTCAGGTGGATGCGAGTAGGCTATTAGAGATCTAATAAGGCTGGCCTGCATTTACAGCTGCATAAGTCCATCTGCGCCTTGCAGAGAGGACTGCAGGCTGCTGCGAGGCATAATGCTGCTTACATAAAGAAGGAATGTTTTGGGAGTGCTCTAATTCTGTCTTCCTCCTTCCACATTGAGTTGTCATCAGTGGCTTATAGCAGAGAGCACCTGCTTGCTGACTCAAGTCCCGAGGTTAAGTTTTCATAAAGGTCGTATCACAAAAATCTGTAGCTGAGTTGATCTGAAGCTTGACTGCTGCAGCTCTGTGAAGGACAATTAATTTGAAAAGAAATTGAAGGTTGTAACATTAAGAGTATTTAAATAAGTCCACCTTTAAACTGGAAGTTTATTATCATTGATAGGTACTTTGCAAAACTGATTCTGGTATTTTTAGGCACTTTGGGCAAACTAAGAATACAGACAAAATTTATGTTTGGTGTGTAATGAGCTAACTGCTCCCTGTTTAGTTTGATTGTATTGATACTGGACCATCTCTCTCAAGCTGTGGTAGAATAGGGTTGATTTATGTTGCAACCAGCCGCATGTGGCTGGTTGCAACATAAATAAAAATAACATTTAAAAAAAAGGAGATGGTAGCTTTTGCACTGTTTCCATGGAGTTTGTATTAATAATTGGCAGTGTTTTAAACTTTGCAGCTGCTTTAAACTTTGCAGTGAGGTTTATCATTTGCTTTAATGTGCAGACCTGAAAGAATCACATTTCAGGGGATTTGAATCAGTTACTCTGATATTCATTTTGTGTTTTCTGTGTGTATGTTTGTTTATGGATGTCAGTAAGTAGCTTTTCTCTAGTAAAAGCATGCCAGTTTTTCAAGTGTTTTTGTTGACATTCTATCAATTAATCAGTTAATATCTTCTCTAACTAAAAACTTAAACTTTTAGTTCTCTGTTGTTGACTTGAATGGCATTCTATTAGTTCATTAACAGTAAATGATAGTAAACTTGTTTTCATCTCGCCAGCGTATATCTGACAATAGATTGCTTAGTCTGTGTACCTAATATTTCTGTTTTTGTGAGCGTATAGGCACCATACTAGATATTTATGGTAGGGTTGCTAATCTGATAAATGATGAGTTGTGACTATCAAAAGCTATGTCACATACATCAGTATTTTTGTTTTGTTTCCCTTAGATACACAGGGAATGTTGAGAGTATTTGTTTAATTAAGAAATTTTTCTGTGCATTTAAAAGTGCACGATCCTTAAGCCACTGCCAACTTCTTGAACTGGCATCGTCCACATGCTTTTGGGGATTTAAAAATATTGGCCTTTAAGATAGGTTCAGGATTTTGCAGTGTTTGGCTTGTTTCATGATCCAAGCTGATGCATCTAAAAGCGTTTTTTCTCTGCTAAAAGATGATTGTACAACTGTGTTTTATTGCTGATTTCCCTGAAATACGGTAATTCATGTTATTACCTTGACTTGCTGTGATACAGATGTGTCAGTGTAAATAGTATCTTCATCTGGTTATTAATTCTTCTAACAAAAAACTTTGCCAAACTGATACTTCATTTTTACATTAAAATGAAGATAGACCCAGGGCAAACTTTGTGAGTTTGTGACATCTGCTTGAAGTCAAAGTACAGCTCACTTGCTACTTTTTAAATTTACAGTATCTTTCCTGTTTTTCCATCCTCCCAATTCCAAACACAACATAACGGTTTAGTCCGTGCTGTTATCCAATTGCTTGATTTCAGTAGGGTTATTATTCTGAATACTCTCCTTGTTACTGGAAGAATAAAATAATAAGTCACTTCCTGTATCTTTCTAATAAAAGGGAGCTGTGCAAATCACAGAAATACCCAGTATTTTGCTGGTAATGGAGGACCAGAGTATTTTAGTGAGAATACAAATGAAAAAAGATTATTATAGTCTCATCTTTCCCTTAAACTATTTCAGACATAGCGTTAATGAGTAAATTCATTTGTGTTTTATTTTAATCTGCACTAGATCTCAGTCCTGCTCTCTGAGTGAAAGTAAAACAATTGAACTTTCAGAATTATTTTAAATCCAGACTGGACATGGTTTTCTATTCATGCTGGCTGTAACTACTTAGAGCAGTCTTCAGCTTGATCTTTAAATAGTTGAGCCTTTGAACATGTCTTGAAGCTAACCTAAATTGATTTGCTGTGCCTTATCCTTAAGGATTTCTATAGTAGAAGTCCTCTGCCAAGTCAATCTGGACCTTAGAGTCCAGTTGCTGATTCTAGGTCCAGTCCTGATTCCCACACGTCTGTCTTTCACTCTCTAGCAATATGAAAGATAGGACCAAAAAAGTATCGGATTTGGCTTTGGAAAGAGCTACAAAGACTTTGAAAGAGTAGTGCTTAAGATGTTACAGATGTAAGCAATGAATTTTCTGAGCATGTGCTGCCTTCAGGGAGGTGGAAAGCCTTGCAGGCAGCTCAGGGGTTATGATCACCGATGAACTAGTCTTGAGAAACTCCTGACGCTTCGACATGGGCTGTGATGTGCTCAGCTCCTCATTGCTCAAAGTGTAGGCTGATTTTTCTGTTCTTTCCTATGAGATAATGCATCAGGTGGTATGATTTCATACACTTGGAGTCAACAAATTCTGTTGAAACCTCACAAGGACGTTTGTTTTTTCATTAACATACTGTTAATTTAAACTCCTTTTTGAATTGTAGGAGAAAAATCATAGCCTATAGATTAGCATTGCAGTTGATGCAGATAAGATACACATTTCAATAGAAATGATATATATATAAATATTATTGACCTAAAAATAAATAAAAAATAGTAAACATATAAAATAAATAATAATAATAAAAAACCCAAACAAAAATAATAATAAAAAATAATTAAAAAAACCACCCAAAAAGTAATTGGTAATATTATTCAGACGCTAGTGAGCATGTGGCTTTTCCTGTTTCCTTTTGTAGAAAAGTTAGCAGCTTTGATTATTTCAAAGTTATTCTTCTGCTACTTCAGTTGCTTAGTTATTTTTTTTGTATATTGTCTGGTGCCTTTGATCTCGAGAGTGAGTATTTAAAGATTATAATCTCTTTGGTGCATGGAGAAGGCTTAAAGGCCATTCTGAAGTCATGGATTGGATCATTTTTCAGTTGTATTTTAAAATGAGAGGTCAGGCCTTCATGGGGTTGAACAATTACTCCTTTTAGTAGGGGAAAGGAAGGCTGCTTGCAGTACATTTTCATCTAGCCTAAGTATTGGGGTAGATTTTTTCTTCTGCTTCTCTTTTTCTTGTCATGTCAACATTTACAGAAATTGATTTTGCACCCTTTATTTGGGTATATTTATCATAAGGATGCTTAAAGGACAGTGTCTTGTAATTAAAGCTGTGCTTTTCAGCTTTTGAAGAAATGTGACCACTTCAGGGATGTGATTGGTAGCCTCTGCATACACTGCCAATTTACAGCTGAGAGTCCTTTAATGCATCCTAAAGGATAGAGTAGGTTCAGTTTATACACATTAAAGATTTGTGATATTTATGCAATGTATTTTGATCAAACAGAAAGATGTATAACAACACTTTGCAAAGCAAAAGTTAAGTGGTCAGGACACAACATACTGACTTTTTCATTAATTTTTTTTTTCCTTGTAAATGATGTGTTGAGACAGGACTTTGAGGTAGGTGCAGTACTGAACAGAAATACTATATGAATCATAATCTTTAGTTTCCCTTGAGGAAATGTAAACAGGATGCTGTGAACTTCTAGTTACGTTGTTACTTCCTATACCTAATTCTTACATGCGGAGAAGTACTGACTTTCTTAAAGAGAAACATCAGGCCTTGGGTTTCTAGATAAAAAAATCAACGTTCCCTTTTTTTGAATCCTGTTACATTCTGTTGATGCACTTTTTGAGTTACGGCAGTATTTGAATGCTGTGCGTTTTTTCTCTTTGGTGTCCTTAATCTGAAGTACAAGTCAATAATTTTTTATTTTTATTCTATTCATACTGCTTTGAATGATCTTACCCATTTTAACCCCTCCTGCCAACTGCTTTTCTTAAAGTTTCTGTTAAATGAACATTAATATAGTATCTTCTCTGAGTGTAAAATGTGTTTAACTTCTTGGGATTAATGTTTTCCTTATATCCTAAATATTTATAGGATTGATTTCAGCCATTTGAGCAAGAGGATCTAGACGCTTACAGCTTGTATATCAGAAGTTGTGTGATACTGTAGGAGTTCAAAGCAAGAAAACTGTATGGGCTTAGACTGGGTCTATTAAAAAAGTATCTTCTTCTCCACTGAATTTGTGTTTACACAGTTCTGACTTGCAGTTTATTGCATCTCAGTTATTTGAAACATTGGTGTTGGTTTTACAGCTGTAAAGGTAACTTATGAATTTTTACATTGCCAGAAGTAGAAAAAAGAAAAATTGCCAATATTTTTCTTGAAGAAGAAGAAGGGAGAAAGGAGCAGGAAAGGGCAGAAAACCGCTGGCAGTATCTTACTTGTACCTAGTGTATTTGACAGTATTTTATTTTGATGCATGAAGGCTTGGTGGGTGTTTATGAAGCACAAGAAGAATTCTTTCAAATTACTAGGAAAAGGTGATTATTTATCTTCTTAGTGATTGGCACTTAGAGGGATGGATATATTCTGTTGATTCTGTGTCAGTGGCAGCAGTAATGCTTATGTCTGAGATTTTCAAGATCCCATGAAGTTAAAATATTGTGTAAGTCAAGAATCTTATAGGAAGGAGTCTGAATAGTTTCTGCTTCAAAGAATTCCATTTTTTGCAATAAATTATAAGTAAATGAAATGTGACTTCATCCAAATGCTCTGATATTTGTTTTGTAGATGATGTTCTGACACCGAATACAGAGAACAGTAATTTTCCCTACCAAGTACCTAACTTCCATAAGTGTGAGATTTGTTTGCTGTCTTTCCCAAAAGAGACCCAGTTCCAGCGCCATATGAGGGATCATGAGCAAAATGACAAGGTATGCATTTTGGATACTAACTTAGAAAATAGCAGTGTATATTGTATTGTCATATACTGACAAGTAAAGCTAACACAAGGCATCATTTTCAGTTGTTTTTAATCACTATCACTAATAATTACTACGTGGGGACCTAAGAGTTTTACATTTTATGAAGTTTCTTTTTCACGTTTCCTCATGTTTCCTTTCAGACAGGACCTTACTTTGATACCATTTAGTTAATATTGTTGTTTCCAGTTCACTAATTTTTAATTATAGCTGTTTTATTTGATTTATAAAATATGCAGGTAGATGGGAAAATGTATGAGTTTCTTTTATTGAATTTGCAAACTGATTCTACACATTAGCAATAAAAAGAAAATAGTGCTTATATTGGTTGGCTGAACACTGCTAGTCTCTTAGAGATGGTTTCAGTAATGTCAAGCAACCTAATCTAGTGTGTGTGAATTAGTAGATTAATGTCATCACTTTAGTTGCTTAAAAATCAGATTTGGGAATGACTAGACTGACTTTATAAATGAAGCTTTTTGCCACAGGTTCCATTTGTAATCAGAAGCATTTCATTTCTGTTCTTTGCTTTCTATTTCTCAAGGGTAAAACTACTTTACATGTGAAGGAAAAACGATTTTATTGCTGTTTGAGGTAGCTGTAGATACAGCTTAATTTTTCCAAGATGTAGGACTTTGAGATGATAGTTTATGTATACAAAGAACTAATCACACAAGTTTCAGTATTGTAAAGTTGATACATGAACAATGGAAGTTGATACTGTTAAAACCATGCTATTGCACACTTGTCTAAGAACCATCATATTTAAAAGTGAAGGTGCTCTTAAAGAATGAAAACTGATTGTGCGGATAGCAATTGAAGAGCAGGCAATCCTAGCATAAGCTAAGCTCTTTGCTAGTTTGATTATTAATTTTGCTTAAGAAGAGTTCATGATCTCAGTTAAAATAGGAAAAATTGTGTCTCGTGCTCATTGTTCTCTCCTGCTAACTGCAATTTCCTCAGTCTCAGTTTAGAGTCTCTGCTTTCTTTAATACCCCTGCCTTCTTTCCCCATGTGCTTTTGAAATGCTGTGTTTGCATTTCCAGTAGAGATGCAAAGAAGAGAAACTAGTTCTGTATTATTAAGGATCATGATCATATGTGGATACTTGATTTTGCTCTTCTTTTATTTTAAACATTTTGATTTATATGGTTTTATGTGTCACCTAGGGTATATGTAACTTACGGGAATATTAACTTTTGTTTTTATCTTTGTGGTTTTGACAGCCTCACCGGTGTGACCAATGTCCAATGTCATTTAATGTTGAATTCAACTTGACGCTTCATAAATGTACTCACAATGGTGAAGATCCTACATGTCCTGTGTGCAACAAGAAGTTCTCCAGAGTAGCCAGTCTGAAAGCTCATATAATGCTACATGAGAAAGAAGAGGTAACTCATTAAACCTCGTAACTTAAATTTTGAAAAGACATGCCATAATGGTTGTACTTTATCCCTTACCTATATGCTTTAGATTGGAGGATTGAATAAATGGTCTTACTTAGAAAAAATAAAAACTTTTAATGGGAAGTCTATTTTAATGATAGCAGCAGAAATTAATATGCTGAATATAAGCAAGTGTTCCCATCCTGTTTTAATAAGAAAGAGAATCTGTGCATGTGTCATAGATGTATATATGTACGTTAATTAATTACAAATACTTTTAAAGCAGTTTCTTTGACATGATGTACTGCATGTGATAGTCTGGGTGATTATTTTTAATGGCAGATTTCATGGTGAGGTACTCTCACCATCTATTTCTTGCATCATGAAGCTGTTTCCCTTATCTAGAACTCCCACCCCTTTTTTTGAGTGTTGTTTTGCTTGAGAGAACTTCATGTTCCTTTCCCTCTCACGATTCATCTTCCATTTTTACAAGGCACTGGCGAAATTCTTAGCCGTTAATGCATACTAGTATTTTGTGCAATTCGTAGTCATTACTGCATTACTGTAGTTGCCAGAGTTGATTGTACCACCAAAAATACCAAGTTTCCAATCAGGTAATTACCTCTTCCTCCTGTGAAAGCTTTCTTAAAATTGCACTTTGCGTTGGAGATCTGGAGCCGAGTCAAGTATGCACTTTCATTGCTAGACTTCTAATCATAACAATTTTATGTTTCTCCATACCAACTACAGACAGGTTGCAGCAGTTTTGACCAGTAGGTTTGGGATGATAGGCCTGCTTGCATTTTTCCCTGAACCAGGCAGAGAATGCCATCTGTAGAGAATATATTCTTTAATCTCGTTACCAGTTTACCTTCTATCACATATACAACCAAGATAAGATGAGAGGAGGACTTGAGTACTATTCTGTTGCATGTTAATGTATCTAAATGATACATAGCTCAATGGGTATTTATTGAGGAAACTTGATTTATGAGTTGCTAAAAACATGTTAATAAGGAAACAGCATCAAGAAGGATGCCTAAGAGTGATTTTTAGTATACCTTTCTGTGATAAAGGGATTTTTTTTATCCACTTCAGCAGGTCTGATTTTGATATTCAGTGTAGATGTCAAGGATAAGTTGTATGATGCATTCCAGTTTAAAATTCAGTCTGCAGCTTTAAAATGAAATAAAAAAAAATACGAACACTTTCAACTGCTAATGGATCTGTTCTTATAATACCCTGTAATTCTGTGATAAACCAGAGAGGAATGTGACAATTCAGTGAATTGCAGGGATGACTTTTCCCATACGTAGGGAGAACTGGAATTTGAACTTGAAGGAGAGCGTCTTGACGACAGCAGTTGCTGTTATACAGGAATTTTTTAATAATATGCAGGGTAAGTAGTTAGTTATCAGTGGAGTACATTCTCCCTCCTGTTCACTATTCTTACTTTTGCTGTTAGAAGAATTAAAAATCTGAAAATAGAGTAAAGATAAGATACTCACTTGGGGAACGTATGTAGCAGTTGAGGACACTGCAGCACAAAGCTGATGTTTGGGTAACTTGTTTTGTGCTGCTGCATCAGCCAGCTTTATGTATAGATGATTGCAGAAGGGCAATAATGAGAAACTAGGGGGATTAGCTTCTTAGAGCTCTCCAATTAGATTTAGAAAAGTATGCCTGTCTATGTTGAAGTGCAGATTTTCATGATTGATTGCTCCTGTGAGAGGTTCTAGAAGGAATTTTCTGAGTATTGAAATCAAGCTTGCAAGAGACTTAAATTTTCTCCTCATGTTCTCTGGTAATTTGTGATAAACTGCTGTAACAGAAAAATACCACATTTGAAATTCCTTACTTCTAAGAAGTCACGAAAACCATACCTTGTTTAAATACACCCAGCTTTGTAGATGCTGCTTGGTTTTGCACATTTTCTCAGTGGAAACAGACAGTGGTATCCACTGCTGCTTTTTGGCCTAGTGAGGCAGGAATACTAAATAAAATAAAAAAAAATTGAGTGCATTAATACTGCTATTATGTCTTCTTTCTCCATGAGCCTGAAGTTTTCTTGGGATTTAGGAAAACCTTGACGTGTTGAAACATTAAACTGGTATTTGGTTGATATGAAGTGAAAATTCCATTACTATAAAATTTGTGTGTGTGTTTTTTTTGTTTTGTTGTTTGCTTTTTTAAGAATGTTCACTGTATTTGATTTGTCCTGTCTTATAATTCAGGAGCAGTGGTCTTAAAGTGCAAATTAAAATCTCCTTTTAGAGATGGTAGGCATCATTGATACTAAACAGGTGAAGATAGTGAGTTCCAAAGTGTTCTTTTAGATACTGCATTTAGTAAGATAAAAATAGTTAATATAGGCAGAATTAGTTGAGTAAAGCTTTATAAAATTATTTCTGAGTTTAGGAATTTTAAGTATTATACAACAATATATCAACTCATTTTGCTTAATATTGGAATGTGGGTTTAACTATAGTGATGTTAACAGTGTGCAGTTACTTGTTCTGTGTGTGGTGGTGGCTATTTTGTTTGCTTGCTTGAGGGCCAAAAAATAAATCTGGTATTGCCTATTCCAGAGAGCAGCTATTCTGCTTGATATATTGCTGTGTTTTAGTACAGTTTTTCTGTTTTACTATGACCCTGCTTTCCCACAGCAAATTCCACAGTAACAAATGAAAATACGTAGACTTCCGTTGTCTGAAATACTTCTTGGGCTATTCTTTCTTTGTGAAAGTTGCTTAATAGAATGTAATAGCAACTTAATTTCACAGATATGTGTGTCTGAAAAATGTTGAGAAGCGATTGAGAAACTCAATTTTGTTGTCCATGAGCTTGATATAGTGTGCATTGATACTTTTTCCTCACTTGCACGAAAGGATTATCATAAGACAAATTTGTTGTATAAGAACAGTATTTTTCAGTAAGAAGTATTCTTACTCAGATTTAAATGTAGATCCCTGAAAAGAAAGTAGTATTTATTTGTAGTCCCACACTGTAATGAGTCCAATAATAATGATCCCTAGGTTAGATTAAGCAAGTAATTTTTGGGGTAGTGTTTAATTTCATTGGAGAACCTCAGATGTTTTGTCTGGTGATATTGCAGAATTTTTGTTTCTTTCAGACTTAGGGAACAAATTCATTGTCAAAGCATTTTAACAATAGTACTGCGTATCTTTGTGTTCCTCTTGATTAAAATATTCTTGTCAATATCTTTATTTAAATGAACACTTTGGGGTTTTTTTCTCTCATCAAGGAGGAAAAAAAACGGGGGGAGGATAAAAAATTTGCAGTGATAATCACAATTACTGAAAAATGAACAGACACAAAAAGTGCCTGAAGTAACTTACACACACTACTAAGGAACTTTGATTCTTCCTTTGAATTTCAGAGGAATGGGAATGCTTTTGCATCAAACATTGTAAGTATAGCTTCAATTCTAAATGACATGGAATACTAATATAACCGGAAAGTGATATGTTTAACACTGCTGTAAAATTAATGCGTTGCAGAGATATCTGTCAAAAACATTATGTGTCCCTATTTATTTCTGTCATCTTTTCTGTGAAGATAGTTCAAGAAAACTCAGCAGTAACTGTGGTGGGATTACTGTTAAAAAGTGACAATCTATGTAATTCAACCAGTAAAGCGTAAAATGCCTGAATGTACGGTTAAGCTGATTTTGGTTAGAAAGTAGTATTTGTTACAAATGTTTATGTAGGCCATAGTGTAATTGAGATAATTTGCTGTGTGTATCTTGAACTAGCCTTCCAAGGAAATAGGGAGTAGTGATTATGGCACTGAACTACTTGTTTCTGAATGTTTTCAGAATTCAGTTTTAGTGGAGTTGCTTAAAATATAAAATATTGCCATAAGCTTGCAGTGATTGTTTTCAGGATTTATGTTATGGGGCTCAAGTTTTTTCTTGTATACTTCTATTGCTGCTTGCTTCCAGCTGCCAATGTCTATAGAAGGATACATTCATCTACTTCAGCAAAGCTTGTGCATGCATACTGCTATTTGAGAATCTTTTGAAAAATCTGTCTCTCTTATCTCTTTCAGAACCTTATCTGTTCAGAGTGTGGGGATGAATTTACTTTACAGAGTCAGCTTTCCATACACATGGAAGAACATCGTCAGGAATTGGCAGGCAGTAGGATCCACAGCTGCAAGTCTTGCAAAAAGGAATTTGAAACCTCCTCACAGCTAAAGGAGCATATGAAAACTCACTATAAAATCAGGTGACAATCATGGGATTGTAACAAAATGAGCAGGGTGATAGCTGGGGAAAGCTGGAGTAGCATTTCCAGTCAGCAGAGTGCTATGATCTATGCAGATCTTTTCTTTGGTATGCTGTTATGAAATGGCATTTGTTTTTCAAAACCTTTCTAAAAGTAAGTGGCTATTTTTGGAGGCCTTTTTTCTTTTTCTTCCCTTCTGTTTTCATATTTAGACACCCATACTAAGCATAGTTCCATCTGCTAGATATCTGTAAACACAGGTTAAGTTTTTCTGATCCAAAGTGATTGCTAAGTGTGTTTATTTGCGATTTTAAAGGCTCATGGCAGTACATTGAAGTAAATGTACATTAATTTTACATAGCACTTACTGTAATTGCAAAAGTCCTAATGCTTACCTTCTGCAGAGAAATAAGTCATTCCATGCAGTTTAATCATCTTTTGCAAGTGGTACTCATCACGACCTGCTGTGAGTTTCTTGTAAACCTGAAAAGGCACAAAATGGAGGGGGAAAAAAGAGGCCTAATAAATACTGTTCTTATTTTTGGTGAATATTTGTTCTGTCTTTCTTTCAGTTCTCTAGTTTACTTTTAGGAAGGTGAAATTTACTTTAAGTTAGAATAAAGAAAAACTTCTTTTAGTTAAGTTTATACATTAAGAAAGGTTAAAGTTTTGATAGGTGATCTCTCTTTTAATCTTTACTCTTGTTTCTATAAAAACAGATGTGAAAAATATGCATTTAAAAAAATGAAAAATACTGTCTGTTCCCAGTTCTTTTTATTAGCAGGTGATACAGGTTATAAGATCTTAATAGCTGTGTTCCAGAAGGTTTAAAAATGTACTGGTGTAGATTTCCATTTACAAACCAAAAATTGAGGGGTTGTAGTACAAAGTTGTGTTTGTATTGTTTATATAAATGTATAATATTACAACACCAAACACATTCATGTTGTGGACATCTGGGTAAATTAGAACGAATAAATAAAGAATGGAGGAGTGACTATAATATGATATGATGGCTGTGATTTTGAGAGAGCATTATCATAGAATCGTAGAATGGTTTGGTTTGGAAGGGACGTTAAAGCTCATCTAGTTCCAGCTCCCCTGCCATGGGGACTTCCACTATGCCAGCTTGCTCAAAGCCCCATCCAGCCTGGCCTTGCATGCATGCCACATTCTGACATAAATGTGATCTGAGTGCTCCGTGATCATTTGTTTATTTTTCTAAACATGGATTATATCTGGATTTGGAGCTTCCTTTTATGAGATTCACCTTATTAATCAGTTCAGATGCAGAAACATGTTGCATTTGTATTCAATAAACTACTGTCCATAGTGGTGCTTTACTGTCCATTCAGCAGCAGTACCTGTACAACGCATGTATGTGACCCAGGTTAATGAATTGTACAAATGTTCCTGCTCCACTTCATCACAAAGCCAATGTAGCTCAGACCTTCTGTATTTCAGCAGAAATTATTTTGAAAGAAAAAATACGGAAATTCAGATCTTTTTTTTTTATTTGACACAATCTTCTCTTATTGCTGAATGTGAGAAGATGAATTAATGAATTACGAAAAGTTAATGTTTGCTCTAACTTGTTTGACTGTATATAGTTTATTTAAAGTTCAAAGACGTACATCAATTTGATTCCTGCTTTTCAGTGTACAGTAAGCTTCAGAATTTTTTTAGGATTTAAAATTATGAAGTGTTGTTCCCTTAAAATGTTTTTCACAGGGTGGTTGCGCTTTCCCTTCCTAAAAAGGTATTTTTTCTGTCTCTGAATCATTTGAATGGAAAACTATTATGAAGTTATATTTTAAATTTAGTATCTACCTTTTGCTAAAAAGAAAATGGTCATAACTCTAAATGATGAAATACTTGAGAAGGTGATCTGATCTTCAAGGGCTGTCCCTACAATGGCCTAAACTGGATATTATTTCCTTTAGTGAAGTGCCTCAGCTGTAGTTGAAACGTATGTTGTTGCTCATGAAAGAGTGCGTTCTGACAATCAGACTGATCTAGATCTGTCCTGAGATGGCAAGAATAGGTTGTAACGTCTGTGCTGTTCTCTCTCCTTTCTTCAATCTTCACTCAACTACTCTGGATACTTCAGTAAACTTTAGTAGTTACAATTAATATGTAAAAGTAGAATATATTACTTGCACTCTGTGCTCACGCTGCAAGAGTATAAAGAAGTTTAAAATTCATGTAATATTTGTTTGAAGTAATTTGAAGGGAAAATGTGCTTTCTTTTAAGCATATACTGATTATCTGTGTTCTTCTAGTGTAGAAGTATGCTGCATTTGAGCAGAAGTTTAATGATTTCCTGTTATGAGCAGACTTACTTCCCTGCTATTTTTTTATGTTGTTACACCAACTTGTGTTTCAAGGTGGTGATGTGTTTTGCACATCTGCTCAACATTAGCTAATTCTTTCAGTTGTTCAGAAAAACACAAGTATTAAATATGTGTAATTTCAGTTAGCTTTAAGCAGTAGTGACAAGCTGGATTACTGTATAGGTGTAGATACTGGGGCACTGTGGAAAATGTGGAGTGCTCTAGATACCATACTGGCTTGTCAACTGCCTTCTGATTTCTGCTTGTTTAGCTGAGTTGTGATGATCTGTAGCTTTTTGTTTTTAACTTTTTTCCAGCATCAACTCAGTTGTTGTTTTTCCCCATAGCTGTTGATGTTTTTCAGCAGACATTTAAACTAATTAGTTCAATTCGTAGAGAAATGAATTTTTGGAATGTATATAATCTGTTTCTATGTGGAGATTGATTTATATTTGAGGGGCAGTGGTGAATCATAGACTCACAGAATCAGCTAGGTTGGAAAAGACCTTTTAAGATCATCAAGTCCAACCATTACCCCAGGACTGCCAAGTCCACCACAAAACCATGTCTCAAAGGTCCTCATCTGCATGGTCTTTGAACACTTCCAGGGACAGTGATTTCACCACTTCCCTGGGAAGCTCGAGCCAATACCTGATCACCTTTTGGTAAAGACATTTTTCCTAATATCCAGTCTAAGCATCCGCTAGCTTGAGGCCGTTACCTCTTGTATTTGGGTGGTTAAATTCTTAACCTGTTCTTGTTAGTTCATGACATCTTCATATGCTAAGGCCAGGCTGGATGAGGCTTTGAGCTACCTGGTCTAGTGGGAGATTTCCCTGCCTATGGCAGGGGGCTTGAAACAGATGATCTTTAAAGTCCCTTCCAACCCAAACCATTCTATGATTCTACGAAAGTCTTGCTGTGTTCAGGTAAAAGAAATGGAACTGCACAGAGTTGAGTTCCCACTAAAATAATACTTGTAAAGTCACTGTATACTTTTAGCAGAATTCACAGTGAAAATGTCTCTAGAGAGTCTCTAAAAGATACTGATTTTATTACAGAAATAACTAGAATTCTTGGTGCTTACAGTTACTTAGAAAAGTGCTGTTTCTATTCTTTTTGTATAATTAAATGGCTTGTTTTTTAACTGTTGCAGCTGATACCGTATATTGTCATCAAATTTACACAGTAAAAAAAATGATTGGGTAAAATAATATTTTCAAAATAGTGTTTAATATTAAGATTATTTTATGTAAATTCCTTTTTTTGTTACTGCTTTAAAATGCCAGGGTATCAAATACCAGATCTTATAACAGAAACATTGACAGAAGTGGGTTTACCTATTCCTGTCCTCACTGTGGAAAGACGTTCCAGAAACCGAGTCAGTTAACGCGACATGTTAGGATACACACAGGTAAGACTGTGGAATTAATTATTTTAGTTTGCATTTGTTTTACCAAATTCAGTTAACCTGTGAAATGCTAAGTATTTTTTTCTCCCTGTCTGGACTTGAGATAGTATTAATACATTTGGTTCATTAGATGTTGTTACCTGTTGGTTTAAAACAACTTTTATGTAATTCCTTTGCTTAGGAAATATATATGCTTTTAAAATTTCGAATGGATATCATTAGAAGCAGTTAAAAAAAAAAAATAAAGTTCTTTAAAGGTTTCATTTGTTACAGAATACCAGTTTTGCTACTTAGAAAGTTTCAGTGGGTTCTGAAATTAGACTCTCCAGATAAGCTACTCTAAATAAGGTCTTACGTACTCTAGAGAACAGGTTCTAAAATGTACAGTTCACAAAAGAGTAGAAGTGCATGAGAATGAATAATACTACTAACGTAGTAGCCTTGGTTTTGTTCCTTAATTTATTTAAAGTTAATACGTATGTATTATGTACTTAACACTGCCATTTTCAGGATGTCCAAAGTGAACTTGGGAGGTGGTAAGCCTAGATTGTAATTTTGGTACTTGAAGTGCGAGTGACTGTTCAAATTTGTAGAATGAATAGCAAATGGATTTTGCTAAATTACTGTAATAAAAATGTGCATGTTTAACCCTAAAGCAACTGAAATAACTGAAAAATGCCAACCATAAAATAATACAAAGTCTTTGAAGTGTACAGAGGACTGTGAGAATAGTTCTCACGTTTCAACCAGCTACACATAGTATAGCAGGAGTTTGGCTTTAAACAAAACAAAACCTTCATTGGAGGTGCTCCAGCTATGTGCAATATGTATGTGTTTTCCATCTTGTGAATAAATTGTTGTTGGTGTAGTTTTTAGCTAATTCAAGTAGTCTATTCTGTAAGCATGCAATGTTTGTGTTAGCAGTCTGTTCAGTGATGTGATGAGTTGCAAAGAATGAGTTGGTTTACCAAGGGAGAAAAAAACTGTTCCATTGTGTGACTGTTTCTTAAGAATCTTAAGTTTTATAGATCCAGTTATAGAACAGTAACACAAGAGGTCACCATTGTACCTGCTTTAAAAATTGCCTCAAAGTAGTATCTCAAAAATGTAATAGAAAATTAACTTTCTTATTTTAGAGTCTCATCTCTATTTGACACATTATTTTAGCTTGTTCTAGTCAGAATTAAAGAAACAAGATCATAGTTGCTTGAGGACACTTTTCTAAAGCTTCAAAAAGTTCAAGGGCATTTATAATTATTTTGAAGAATAAAAAAACATTTGTCTGTTGGGAAACGAGAGACAGAAAATGTAGTCTCTATCTGCACATGATGGTAGGTCATTTTAAGTTCCAAGTAGCTAGTGAATACTCATTTAATTTGTGAAGCATGTTATTACTCTACATCTGCAGACAATGTGTCTGGCGTCTAATTGCTTGAGGTACTGTAAAATATGTAGAATTTAGAACTGTGCTTTAAAGAATTTAGAATACTTAAGTCTTTAATTGTTACAAGAGCATGTCAGTGCTATGCGTGCATTGTATTACATTAGTGTCATAATTGCCATACTTTTTGTACATAGCTATTAATTTCAAGCCCTTACACCCTTTGGGGAAAAATCAAGTCTCAGGGATTGCAATTCCCATATTAATAACTAAGTAATGAACTCCCCATTCCCCTCCCAAATCTGTATGTTATTAAGTTATACTCAAGAAATAGAGAAATTCCACATTTCCACACTAGAATTATAATTCTATAGTTTTATAATGACATTTACTTAGGCAAACTTAACCTCAAGCAATTCTTCTGTGTCCACCAGCAGCTATTAGTGGAAGCTAAGCTTTTTATGTCTGAAAGCCCAATAGAGATTTTGACACTTATTTCAAGAAGATTTGAATCAGTGTTTTGTATTTAAATGTATAATTAAAAATATACTGTTCCTACCTGCAGACTTTAAAGCATTATCAAAAGCCATAAGCAGCAGAACAAAAAATACACGTTCCTTCAGAGTTGACACTGTGCTGTTTATATGCTTGTTATCTATTTCAGAAAACAGCTGCTCTTATTTAAAACAATGTGAATTTAGTTAAGAATTAATAATCTTATACTAGATGTAATTACAGCTACATAATTAGAAGTAATATAAAAATATTCATTAAAACTGCTTTAGTGTGCATAATATTTAGCACATGCTAGTACTTACTAGTGTAGCAGACATAATGTACAGCATGCTGATAGTGATTTTGCTACAGAAATGTGCAAAGGCAAAGTGTTAAATATTTTCAAGGTCCTGGCATTAACCACACCTCAACTATTTCACTAAGGAAAAAAGAGTAATACTGAGTTCACAAGGGGGATTTACAGTAGTACATTAAGACATGGTTGTAAGAAACTGAACTTTGTTCATAGTATCTGTGTGTTTAAAATATGTAGCTTTGTAATATGTTTATGCAGTGCTATTATGTTTTGTCACTTAGAATTTCTGCAGAGTTTTTCATACTCAATCTGTTAATGTATAGATAACTCATAGTGTGCCCAGCACTGAGAACACCAAATCAGGAAATAGTGGCAGCATTCTTGTAACAGTATTGCCTAGTTTTTCTTTAATGTTTAGTAGAAATGTGAACATTCAAAATTTTAAAATTATTTTCTGAGTAAGGCTGTACAGTATTTTATATAAGAAAAACATTTGCATATTTTCAATAGCTGGTTGTAAAGAATGAATGGCTATTGCTATTTATTTATTGGGGAGTGTGAACCATAGGCCATCTTTTGCAGTGTCGCTGTAAGACTTTTTTTTAAATTTTTGACTGTTGGTTATTTAGTACTGTCCATGCCACCCTCTGGTCCTCCATTTGTTTCCGTGCAATTTTATAAGATTTGGTGTAGAAGGATGGCCTATGTGGGTTTGGTTTTTCTTGTTTTTTTCCCTTTTCCTCCAGTGGTTTTGCATAGCAGCTTCTGAGAATTTCCAAACCACAAGTTGAGGGAAGCAGTTCTAAATAATTGCTTCATACAGATTTGATCTGTTTCACCCATTTTAACTGATACTCATCAGCTAAGTCATAAAACTTTTTTCACAAAGCTTCGTCAGAGTAGATGCTGAGATTCTATGATTGGTGGTCAAGGTAAAAAATGTCATTGCGAAAACACACAATAAGATATATTTCTGTGTTTGTGTGCATGTACGTACAGGTATCTATATGAAATATTTTAGCTGATACAATTTTTCAAATAGATAACAGGAGACTGTTAACGTTGTTATTTAAAGCATTTTACCGCACATCCTCCTTGTTTTTCCTCCCAGGTGAAAGACCTTTCAAATGCAGTGAATGTGGAAAAGCCTTTAACCAGAAGGGGGCATTGCAGACCCATATGATCAAGCACACTGGCGAAAAACCCCATGCTTGTTCCTTTTGTCCTGCAGCCTTTTCTCAGAAAGGCAATCTTCAGTCACACATACAGAGAGTTCATTCAGAGGTAAATACAATTATTCATAAAGTGGTTGGTGCTAATATACTTCTTATTTCATTTTCACTATTTAAATTGTGCTGTTTGCTATTCCTGTTGCTCTCTGGTGCTTTCTGTAGCCAATATGGATTTACTGCTATAGTGTAGATTCTAGTTTGTTGGTTTTACCTGCAAGCTTTCCTAAAATAGCTCAGTCTGAATAAATGTATATTTAGGATAACTAGCAAAGCCTTCATTTTCCATTGTCTTTTCAGTACGTTGATAGATTAATAAATGATTAGTGATTGTAGGTGTATAAAAACATACCTATGTCAGTCTTGGGAGAATGAGGGCTAGAATCAGATGAAAGTAAGGCAAAAGCAGCAAAGCAAAAAATGGTGAAAAATTTCAAGGCCAAACAGCAAACCACTAACTCCATCATAGAGCATCCTTGCAATTTATCTTTGAAGTACATGTCTTGCAGCCTTTTTCAGAGGTTTTTCAGTTACAGGAAGAAGAAAATTACAAAATAAGGTAAAAAACATTGTTGTCTCAGACCTCTTTATGCTGATTTCTTTCTTCTTCTTTGTGACAGACAATTTCTAAGATTCAAAAGGTGCTGCTGTGATAATATAACATAATATTCTGAGCAACATTGGCTATGCAACTTTGTTTAGTAATTTCCTTGCTGACTTCAGTGATCTGTGCTCAGAAATACCCATAGAAAGAGAGCTAGTTTTTATTTGGAAGGTTTGAAGTGATAGAGGCAATGGGTTTTTTTCCTTTTTCTTTTTATTTTTATTTTTTTTAACCTGCATGCAGAATATTATTTCTGCTCTCAATTTTTCCTGTAAGTCTGAGATTTGCTTTCTTCTTTTCCATTTTTGTGTTACGGTGATAAATCTTATTTCCTGGATTTTTTTTTACTGAGGATCTTTTAGTGTATTAGTGCCTTGATTTTAGGATAAGTCTTATTAGTATGTCTTTGTGGTTTGTATTATGGTCAATTATATTAAATCCTATGTTTATATTTCCTATAGCTTTGTGTGACTAGTCTTCTATCACAATGTGTGATAGCTTTTGCTACATAAATTCACCAACATTAATTTAATAATCTGAACTGATTTTTTTTCAATATTGCAAGGTTGTTGGGGATCACTTCTTGATCACATCTTGTGCTGTGTTTCATGATCCTAAGCCTGCATTTTAGTTACTGCTTTGGATCATTTGTTGATTTTTATTTTTTTTCTTACTTCTTTCTTGCTGTGTCACTGTGTTTCCTTCAAGACTGCATGCATGACTCTTTAATTCTTCATTTTTCCTTAGGCAGTCACAAAATAACATTACGCGTGATGATGAAACAGGTTGATTCTCATTTCGTGTATCCTTGTTTAGCTGTACCAGTTTCTTATTAGTTGATACCTTTTTCTGAAAGTCTTGATACCAGTTTAAGCTACTGTCAGAAAATACAAAATTCCATACTAAATTGCAAGCAGTGCAGCATGTTTTCCTTTGAAGACTTTGCTTTTTGTTCCCTGCATATTGAAAGTACTGCGATGGATCTTACTGCTATGTGATAGATTGAAGATGGAAAGGGAAGTGAGGATGATTGGAATCTGCAAATGTAGCTGCTTTAGCTATCTCAACAGATTGGCTTAAAAGTCCAAAACAGGTTGCTGCTGATTTCTGTGTGTTCAAATTCAGTTCACTGTGATGGGTTTTTGACCCAAAAAATGGATTTTATTTTTTTTATTGGAAACTTTTAAAAAATACTTCTGCAAAAACAAACAAGAGAAAGCCAGCCTTTGAAGATCAACTCTGCACTTTTCATGTAACTATTTCCAGACTTCCATTTGTATTATGTATCATGTTTTGCATTCAGGCACATCTTTATTGATAAAGTTGCATTTCAGTTTTGTTTCTAAGTGTGTAACAGTAGGAAATTTTAAGGACAAAAAATCTGAGGCCTCATTTGCCAGATGACTTGTTTTGCTCTCTGGTGCTTCCTAATGTTGAGAAGTAGTAATAGAAAACGACAGTCATGCACATAGATTACAGTTGAATTGATACATGAGAGATATCAGACTGATTCCATAACTGGATATCAGAAACCATTTTAGCTCTTATAATCCCATAGTATATTTGTTATGTGAATAAATAACGGAAAACATAATATTTGGTAGATGTAGGGAAAATTTACTTGATTTTTTTTTGTGTTTGTTTTATTGAAGGTGAAGAATGGGCCTACATACAACTGTACAGAATGCAGCTGTGTCTTCAAAAGCTTGGGTAGTTTAAATACACATATCAGCAAGATGCACATGGGTGGTCCACAGAATTCTGCAAGTGCTTCAACAGATGTATCTCATGTTACAGCGGTAAGCATTGCTTGCTATAGTGTGAAAATGCCCTGAAGAGTTTAACTAGGTCTATATCTCAATTCCAGTAATTCTTCTGATAGGTTAGAACTGAAAGACCTGTTGCTGTTGTTCGTCTTTTTGAAGTTTGGTCTCATTTCTGGAATTGAGGTGTATGATTAAATATTGGCAGAATGTAAATTGCCCAGGCTTATGCAAAAACGATTTGCAATATGAGGGTCTGGTTAAAAAAAAAAAAAAAAGAAATTCTACAACTAAGTAAAATATAATTCTGGTGCTTACAGACTGTGTGGGGAGGAAAGGTTTCTTCCTCAGATAACAAAAATAATTGGGAAGTTTTACTGGAGCAATTAAATTAAGAAGTATTCAAATCGTGTATTAGTTTGAGCTCATTTTCAGAAATTAGTTGTTTATACAATTCTAGTCAATGGAAACACATAATGGATTCTTCTGAGTATTTCTGATAACTTGTTTTAAATGTTAGCCTCTTATTTGACAGATCATAAAGGAAAAATCGTAGCTTTCTTGGAAGCATTGAATGTTTTTCTTTTTTTACCAAGATAACAGAAGGAGCTATAATTCAGAAAACATTTATGGTTTCATAAGGCTGCTGTATTTTTTGAGCCAGTGCATAATTAATATATCATACTACTTTTTTTTAATTTGAATAGAACTATGTTTTCTATCTTTATTCCACTCTATTTTGCATAATTCCAATTTCTGTACTTTAATAATGTTCAGTGGATTAGAAGTAATATCTTTGAAAAGTGTTAAAATTTAAAGTTTCAACTTATTTTTCAGCTGTATTGTGTTAAAAACAAGTGTCTCTTTTTATAAGGCAGATGCTATTTGTTTCTTCAGGTTAATTAATAAAAAAACCCCACTAATGTCTCCTACATGCTTGCAAGTAGATACAATCTCTACATCTTTTTGTACATTTCTGCATTCACAAGCTGAATCTTAAAAGCAGGATGGAAAAGTATTCCCTCATACTACCTCATGTTTGCTTACCCTGGCCAGCTCTGTTTTTCTTGGATTGTTTAGTTTAAATATTTGGCATTTGCATTATTTATTGGCATTACAGTAGTGACTTGTTATTATCTTTGCTGCATGCATACTTTTTCGCTTGCATCAGAGGGGGAAGGTAAAGAATACCTCTCTATACTAGTATAAGCAAAATGGAAGGAAAAAAGAATCTTTCTAAAACATATGCTAAGAAGTTTAACAAGGAAGAACAAAGATGATAACTGGCATGCCAGTCACCTATTAAGAGTATTATGCTTTTTATTTTTAATTTTATATCTGAAACTGCACGTACTTAACGATTGATTTTTATTGCTATAGAAAGATGGTACATTATTTGATTAGCACTGGTGTTCTTAGATGAGAACTGACTTCTTCATTTTGCTCAAAACTTGCAGAGCTGCTCTAACAACACATTTCAGTATAATAATTCTGTTCTGAAGTTTCTGCTATCTTTTGTTATGGACCTGGGGAAAAACAATGAGTATGTCCTTAATAAATGCACATTCCAAAAGCTGAAGTCTCCTGAAGTGCTGTGCTACAGAAGAATGTATTTTGTTATACATGAATATATCTTTCTCTCCCTAGTCTCCATACTGTGGGAAAAGGAACTGTGCTACTTCTCTGTGTGATACTAGCCATGGTTTAAATTGTTTTATTTTATTTTATTTTTCTGTGCAAAGGCTTCAAGTAACTTTCTTCTCATTTCTTTGTAGGACTCTGTCACCCAGCCTTTAGCAACGTCCCCCACTAATCTTTTGCAACCTGTTGATAACAAATGGAAGAATGTAAGTGTAGAGTTTTTGTTGTATTTTGTCAAGCCTAAAACTGGGAGAAACTTTACAGAATTTTGTAAACTTTGATTTATCTGGTGAAAAAGTATATGCAACAGTCCTGTGTGGTAAGTTGATCAGCTGATAATGTGGAAGGCAAGCTTCTTGGTGAATGCAGCTGGTTATTTAGCAATGGAACAGGTCTTGAATGGATTGTATTCCCTCATTTGTTATACACTCATGCTTTTGCATATAATTCTGTTCATTAGCTCTTGAAAGTGGAGTCAAATGTTCTCCCGTATAAAAAGACCACAGGAGAGTAAGGACTCTCAAAAACACTGGATTATTCCGCTCTGACTTCAGTTCACAGGGAGAGGGAAAGTTTTGTGTTCCTGCTGCTTGAGTTGGTTGGAATTGAGGCAGCACTGGAATAATGGGGCTCAGGAGGAGCCCCTGGAGCCAGGGAAGTATGACACAGGGCTCACTTTCTGGAACCCCATAGCAAGTAGTCTTGATGTACAGGCAGGTCTTTATGTGCCTGCCACAGTGAGCGCAGTAGCATGTTTTGTTGCAGCTATGGAACATGTTGTTTGTCAACTACAGGTTGGAGCATGGTATAGTGACAGACTAACTGCACTTGCATTCCACCCTTCCCAAAATCAGCCGCTGATATTCTTCTCGGGTACTAGAATCCACAAAACCAAGGACTCAGAAATCTGGCAGTGTTGCTTTAAAGTCACCATAACCAGTCTATCCACTTTCTTTGTATCTTGACTATGAATTCATTATTCAAGGACCAGTTAACTTAGAGATAGACAGAACTGATATGAGCTAATTAATTGCTAATATTTGCTGTATTGTATAAATAAATAGTTATACTATGTTCCTTATTAGATTTTTAAAAGTATTAAAAATATCTGTTCTTCAGAAGCAGTTTATTTTAAGCAAATCTTTTCTTTCTTTTTTTTTAACAAATTGAAGTAATTTTCCTTGCTAAAGAGTGGTATCAGAAGTGATGCCTGATTTTTAGGGGGGGATTGCCTGTGTGTCTGTGAAAGCACAGGTCTGAAAAGAAGTTAATGATTAATTTAGGATACACTTTATTGAAAATATACTGGATTATATTCCTGAATAATGAATCTTCATATAATTGTAGGAAGTTCATGTTGTAGAAAGGGAGGAGCTTGCCTAGAATGTAGTCTGTCAATTCATATTGATCCTTAGAAATCACTCTTTTTAAAAAAAAAAGTATGATTTAATACTTGAATTTAAATAATATTCAATATACTTAAGTTTTGTGTTTCTCATTTGACTTTGTTTGGTAGTTTGTATTCAAAAGCTGTCTAGTAACTCAAATTCCACAGAGGAACTGATAACCTACTTGTTTCTCAAGAGCCAGGAGGATGGGTTTTTTTGTTTGTTTGGCATTTTTTGGTTGGCTGGGGTTTTTTTGTTTCTTGGTTTTTGTTGTTGTCTGGTTTTGGGGTTTGTTTTGTTTTGTTTTTCATTGAATCTGCATATTGAATGAGTCTCCTGTGTCAGTGTGTCATATTGTGTGGTTCCAGTTTGGAGCAACAGATCCCATTGCCCACTCCTCCCAGACTTTTGCTCACCAAGTGAGAGAACTGGTCTAGTTACGTCTGTAGTATCTTCAAATCTCTTTCTTCCCCAGAGCATGACTTAGTAACTGCTAAGCCACCAAGCAGTTTATGTCTGACCCTTTATGGAGTCAATGTCAGATTAGGTCTGGTGGATCTAGGAAAGCAAGCATGGTTTTCTAGTCTAGCACTTAGAGCAGAAACCTGAACTCTCCTTCCACTTGCTGGGTATCTTCTATTCTGACAGTATTAACTATATATTGTAATACATGTGGGAATCTAGTGGAAAAGGAACGTATGGCATCACATCAAAACTAATGCAGACAGACCTCCATGGAAAGGTGAATCAGCAGCAATTTTGTTACATGTTTTCAGATATTCCTCCTTTGATGTACTATCTGCTTGTTTCTATGCCTTCAGATGAACAGCCTGCTTGTTGATGTGCAGTTGCTGTTCATTTGTTGAACCTGGTATACATGCTCAGATTCCTCCATGGCACTGCACCATTTATTACATGTGGCTTTAAGAAAATGTATAGGTACTTTTATTTAATAAATGTGTGCTTTTTGGTAATTAGAGTTAGTTGTATCCTTAATTATTCTTCATTTTCCTTCTAATGGAGGTGATAAAAAGCAGGGATATGTTTTGTATTTTCAGATAGAATAATGTACAAGATTAATGTGAGGCACCATGAGTTTTTAAAACTTTCTGAGAGAACTTATGGAAGAGGTGTGCAAGAAATCACTATTGTTACTGTGTTTCAGATGGGGTCCCTTGGAAATGAAGTCTTTACTGTAGAGTCATACTACAAAGTCTTAAGTTACACTATTTAATATTTTATCAGTGATCTGGAAGAAAATGTAAAATAACCACTGATTGAGGTGATACAAAGGTTGAGGTAATTTATGAAGAGAATGAATCACTGAAATGGAGTGATCTGGATTTTTTTGTGAGCTGGGTGCCACAGGCAATATCTGTCCTGATACAGACAAGAATAAAATCAGATAGAGAAGAACAGGAAAAGTGGGCCATATTCATGGGATAGGTGTTTTCAAGGATTTTTAATTCCCCTTATAAATAGGGATGGAAGAGGTTGATTTATCAGCTGAAAGCTAAGTTCTCCTTGCCTGGAAAGATTAATTTTGGTCTTTCAATTTAGAGATGAAACTTTGCATAGAAATGAAAAAGTAGTGTGTCTTTTGTATTTCATTCTGGCAGTTTTTGCTTTTGTTGGTTGCCAGCTTATAGTGTTCACTATTCACGAACTGTATTCATGATACAGGAGGAATCAGAGCCATCAAAATTCTTAAAAGTATGATATGATGTTTTTTATTATTTAAGAGATTCAAGGTGCATTAGTTTGCCCATCAGATAAAATTTTTAAGGATGACTTGATCTGCTGTTTTGAGGAAAAGGGAAAGATCTGTAATCTTTTTAATAGAGAAAAGAAGTTTTGAGGGTGAAGCTAGAGAAAGTCACACTTAAAGTAGGGAATTTTAGTGTGGATAATTTACTGTTGGAGCAACTTGTTGAAGTTGGATGGCAACAGAAAGATATACCACAGTAAATTACTTGATTTAAAGAACTGTAATTTCTGTATGGTTATTTTACTTGAAGGAGTGATTCACTCAGAGCAGTCATGCGGTCTGTGTTACGCAGCAAATCAGACAGACTAAGGGTGATCATAAGGTCCACTATTCTAATTGAACAAATGTGGAATTATGAAATAGTAATAAAACACTTCTTTATGCTATTTTAAAAATCAGATATTGAAGTGAGTTCTACCAAGAGACCTCCGAAACATCTCACAATGAACAGGATATCCTAAGAGTAATGGTAACCAACTTCATATGCATTCATATGTGTATATTATTTTTCAAAAAAGATGACCTACATGAGACTGTATATAAACTGCTGTATAATATGGGAACACACTGGCTAAATACATGTAATACTGTAATTTTCATGTCAAAGATGATGTTGAGCAGTTCCTTCATTAACAGTTTTTTTTCCTTCTGCTGAATGCTCGGAGAATCTTGCAGACTTCTAGTGTAGGCTTCTCACTCAGCTAAAGAGCTTCCCTGCATTCTGTTTCAAGAAAATGAATGATCTCTATCAAGAGCTGTTACACTCTTTAGCAAAACACTTTGCTTCATTTCCTGTTTACTGCAATGAAAATGGCATATAGTGTGTTTTGTTTTGTAAAATACATACTGAAATGTTTATAGCACTTTTGCAAAATTGGAATCTGAAGAAGCGGAGTCTTTCCATCTGTCCTGCTTGTGAGGTGAAAAAAGATGAAGCAATGGTTAAATTGGCAAAACAGCAAATGCTGTTCTCACATGCATGCGAGAGAAATGAGATAAGGGTTTCTTTTATATCTCATGAGAAGGCATTAACAATACTTCATCAAATTTGCAGGATGTAACTAACTCAAGCTAATTTTTCTTAATGATCTTTGAATACACTGACAGTGTCATTTTAACTGTCCAGTGTAATTTGTCAGTATAGGTAAATCTCAGGGGAGTTTTCAGATTGGGAGAAATAATATGTACATGAAGCCTAAGATTATTCTTTGTTGAAAATGATCTGAAAGAAGATAGTGTTTTATATATGTGTGCGTGCCTGGAAGTGATTATTTTTAGAAAAGAGAAGTGAATATTAGAAGCAAATACCCAGTGTGCTCTAAGGAACAGAATTATGGGCTACCAATTACGTATTTCTGTTTTCTGCAGTAAAATAAATGATTGAAAGCAGTTGTTCCAGTAACAGTATACTTACGCAGTCTATTTGTTACAAGAAATTTATGAATGAAGGAGAACAGAAAGAGTCTGTATTTTTGCTTTTAAAAAGAAGTACCAAGGCTTTTTGTCACTTCTTGTTTTCCTTCATATTTCTTACTAAGGTAGCCTCAGATAAAATTATCAAATCAAAGATTAAGAAATTTGATTGTTAGACTTTAAGGTGCTTTTAGTATTTTGACACAGCTCCATGTGTATTTAAATTTTTACAGTATAAAGTGATTCTTCCAAAGCTAAGAGATTTAGAGGATTGAAAGTTGAAGGGAAGAAGTTAATAGTTTGTTCTGAAAATTTTTGATGTAACAACACAAAGAATTCAGTAATTAATCCCTCTGTTTTGTAAAGCGGTTTAAGGTTCAGAAGTTACGATAAATGTAATTCAAGCTGTAAGTTTACAGTTTTCCAGCTTGGGAAGAACTCCAGAAAAGGGATATACAGAAACATTTCTTTAATGGAGTGAATAGACAGCTTTGTGTAATTCTTATGTCTTAGTCAAGTGGGCATCCTTGTAATAGATGTTTTAGATAAGGAAGCTGAACAGGTGAGTTCTTACATACTTTTCATCTTCCTTTACAAATGTACCACTCACTGTATATTTCAGGCCACGCATTTTCGGTCTCCACTTCTTCAACAGCCAGAAAACCAGGCTTCTTCAGCTGCTACTCATCAGGGTCAGCAGGCTGTAACTGATGTCATCCAGCAGCTCCTTGAGCTATCAGAACCAGGTCCTGTAGAAAATAACCAACCTCAACAACCTGGTCAGCAACTCAACATTGCAGTGGGGATCAATAGAGATATTTTGCAGGTAAGAGCACTGTGTGAGAACAGCTTAACATTTCAGTGGTTTCCTTCTTGTTTTTATTTTAGTGGAATTTTTCTCAGTATTTTCAATTTCGGCATTCCTTCTGCATTTCAAAATGGTTTATCGATCAAGAGAGACTTGTAAAGATCTGGTGAAAGGGTATGGAACACACCCAGATATCTTTGTACAATATTACAGAAGCAAGGTTATTAATAGTGATTATATGGCCTAAAAAAAGCTTTAAGCATACACACTCATACATGGACATTTCATTGATTCCATTGGCTTTTTTTTTTTTCTGTTGCCTAGAAGCATCTTCTGGCTTGTCCTTAAATTAGGCTGTGCTTAAAACATGACAACGTTTAAGAGGGGAAAAAATAAGCATTTTTATCTGGTTAAAAAATTAGAATGTATACAGGGCCTTTATCCTGTTCTAATTAATAAGGGCTATTGGAATATATCCTATTTGAGCAAGAAAATTCCTTCCTGGGTTGACCAGTGTTTCTTGTAACCCATTATTCTGTCGTAGTTACTGGTAGTAGGAGATGCTGTGTAACAGAAGTGCAGGGCAGTAATTCAACTGCCTGTGCTTGTTCTGCAGCCTCGATAGAGGCACAAAATAGAATAAAAACTTCTTTAGTATTGGTGGTAGCCTGCTAACCTTTAAGCCCTTTTTTGAGCTCTAGTCTTTAAGTACCATTTAGATTTCTTTTTGGAAGACATGAATGTTACATGTAACTATGTGCATGAGTTCTCTAATGTATGGAAAGTGATGTGTGGTTGCAGCAAATTACAGCATGAAATATAACTATTATCTTGATAGATTTTATTTTATTTTTTTAAATTGGTCTTTGAGGTTGGTTCTTGAAGTTTTTGTATAAGCATTTAATCACTGATCTTGGTGGTGTACAAAATAAACAAAATGTAGTGTTCTTCCAAGTGATAAAATATCTGCACACTCCTACTGGAAAGTGTGCTTGAGGTCTTAGATCCAGAACCATTTCAGACACAGAAGTGTTCATAAAGGTGCCTACACTCCAGTCCCTTCCAGGTGTACGTGAAAATGGGTGCATAGTTCTTGACTCAGTCAGGTGGTTACTGGTGGTTTGTTAACAGAGGCTTGTGAGCTTTGCCAAGCTTTTCTTTGGTTTAGCATTCTTCATTTTTCTTTATACCATCTATGGCTTCTCCATAAGCTGATGGGCTGCAAATTTGACCTTTTATGGGGAACTATTCTGTCATGTAGTAGACGTAAGAGATAGCTTATGGATATATTCCTGGGAAATGCTTGATTCTGTAGAAATAATTGGCATTTTTCTGAAAGGCAGCTGTTGGAGCATTTACTAGTGCAGGAAATCCAACTTAAAATCTCACAGACAATCAGAAGTCAATGTTGTGTAAGAATGTTTTTGCAATTTTGAAATCCAGCTGCAATTTTGGGAGGTCAAGACATCTAATTCTTCATTTATATTTCCAATATATCTTGTGAGTATTTGCTTGAGAAAAGTTGTGACAGTAGTGAAATGTTTCTTTCTTAATCTAGAAGTATTTTATTCTTTCTAGCAAGCTTTAGAGAACAGTGGGTTGTCTTCAATTCCCGTCTCTGCACATTCTACTGACTGCAGCCAAGCTAAGACTCCTGGGACCCAGGATCAGAACCCAGATGTCCAGACTCTTTCAAATCATCAGGCTGACTCTAGTAATGTAGAACAAGATAAGGAGCAAGAGAGTACAGATAAATTGGATAAAAAGGAAAAAAAGTTTATTAAGAAGAAGTCATCATTTTTACCTGGTAATGTTGCCACTGCTTGCTGCTTTTTGTGCTGTAAGGTCTATAGTAAGTGTGGGTGTGTTGATGGCTTTATAAAGGAATTTCCCAAAATGTATTGTGGATCAGTTACAAACTTCGTTTACTCTCGTCTAAACCACAGTATGTGTAGAAGTTGTGATCAATAGTATTTATGACTTTCATTATCCTGATGCAAAACCATGTCAGAGTGTCATTAAGTGAAGTTACGCTGTCAGATCTTCTAGATTTAAACCAGTGGAATTTATGGAAAAGGACAAAAAAGAAAGAATATTAATCTTTTGGGGGAGGGGTTTTGTTTTTGTTTCCCCCCCGCCCCCCGCCCCCTTCTTCCTTCTGTCAGAAGGATTGGGTTTTTATGGTGTGTCCCAGATCAGAGTTCTTGGAAGCACTACTCTTACTCTTTGGAAGTGAGGCTTCACAGAGGCAGAAGTGCAGTACGACTGCGTCATGCAAATCTTCACTGAACTCGGCCTTGTAGGGAAGGATGAAGGTTGGCACTGTGGATAATACTTCATGTCACCTATGTTGGAAATCATAGTACTTATGTGAAATTACATGTTAATATTGCACCTCCGTACTTTACTGTGGTTATGCAAGCCTGGATTTTGTCTCCATGTGCTTAAATGCAACTTTAGTTAGCATTAAGGTTGCTAGAAGTGGTTTGTTCCAAGCATAGCCATCATACTTCAATGACTGGCCTGGTGGAGACAGTGCTAAAATAAGCAGTCATTGAGCTCTGTCTGTAGTATCTTCATAGATACACTAATGTTACTTTTTATCTGGACAAAGGAGGCAGAAATTGATCCAAAGTTGAAAATTCATCTTGTCCAGCATAACCATGCTAAAAACCAACATTAACTTTTTTCCTCTGGTATAGTTACTACTTTGTTCCTTGCGTATAACAGTAACAACTCTCTAACTCTGACTGCAAATAGAAATAAAAGGTCTCTACTGTACAGTCAAACACAACCACCTTTATTTTTTGATAAAATAACCTCAGCATATTGATACAGTTTACAGAAAAAAAGACTATGAGAACCAATTTAAATGAATGAATATATGATAATTGAACAACATACATGAATAAAAAACTGTGGTAGGATTTAGAAGGTTCTTTTGTCAGTTTTGTCTAGAATAAGGTATCATAAAACAACTTCTGTGAAAAGGTAGCCTTAAAATGTAAATCTTTCAGAAGGACTTTTTTCTCCTGTATTAATATTGTATTTATAAGTTAACTGGTATGCTGCATTACAACTACATTCTGTATTTCTAAGTGGCATAAAAATTGTATTCTGTGAACTCAGACATTTCTTAGCTTTTTTTTTCTTCCTTTTTTTTTTCCTTCCTTTTCAGTAGTATAAAAATGTTTGAATTTCAACAGGATTCTCTTTGAGTTTTATTGTTGTCATTCCAGTCCATCACTATTTTTGTGAAGTATCTGATAGCGAAGTTAATTTTCTACGAAGTGTGTTGTAATGGCATCTATTTCACAAAATAGTTTTGTGTTTTGATTAGTTTGTGTAATATTGGTGTAGCAGAATTTCTGAACAACTGTCAAAATGTTTAAAACACATTCATTTTGATGTTCCTTATTTTAGGTTCTATACGTGAAGAGAATGGAATAAGGTGGCATGTTTGTCCGTATTGCTCTAAAGAATTTAAAAAACCAAGCGATCTAGTGCGCCACATTCGCATTCATACCCATGAGAAGCCTTTCAAGTGTCCCCAGTGTTTCCGCGCCTTTGCCGTTAAGAGTACTCTCACAGCACATATAAAAACACATACTGGCATTAAAGCTTTCAAGTGCCAATTTTGTATGAAATGCTTTTCCACCTCAGGGAGTTTAAAAGTTCACATTCGTCTACATACAGGTAAGGCCTCAAAATTGCATTTGTATTTTCTATAATGTGGGTGAAACCTTGAATGGAAAGAGAGAATTGAAGTGCTTAAATTGTAGAGATGTCTACCCTGTCACTGATATCTATTGGAGAATTAACCAGTTTTAGGGTCCTACGTAATGAACTTAATTTTTTTCATATCTTTCTAGTTTTTCATGGCTTTGGAACTTTGGGCTCTTAAAAAAGCCATGGACATTTAGTTTTCTGATGATGAGTCAGCTGTTGCTCCTTTTGAATATCACTATTGTGAGTGTATTTAATTTGTGCTTTCTAAAGAGTCATACTCTTAGAATTTGAATTCTGATTTTACCGACCCCCAGTCATTTTTCATATTTACTCTGCATCATTTCTTCCCACCCCTCTCCCACACTTTTTGATAATTTCACTGTAGCACTCAGGACTTTTTCTTTACTTCCCATTTAGTCTTCAACAATAAGCTGTTGCTTCATGTTTTTGCCAGTTTGCCTGTTTTCAGTATCGTATACTACATATTGTAAAACTCCTCCATTCATTTTGTCCTTGATTGCATCATATATGATATCTTCAATACCTGTCTTTCTGTGGCTGCTTTTCTGTCTTTCCATAGAGAAAAATGAATTTTCCACTCTTAGTGGAATACCTGGTTGTTTTCTGCTTTTCTTTGTCTTGCAGGTCAATAAGCTTTCAGCGAGATAAGCTTGTAAATCCTTCATTCCTGTTTATGTATTTATAAGTTATGCAAAAGTAGTTCGTTGGCTGTGTGCCTTTACTTGTTATAGTCAGAATCTTTAATCCATGAAATACCAATGTTGGATTCATCTGCAGAAAGTTTTTCACTTTATTTTTTGTAAACCAGTATTTTTTCAGTTACTTTAAAGTCATCCTTACTGTGTTTAAGAAGTCAGACTCATACAAAGTGGCAAAAGCCCTAGGTGGCTTGAAAAATACATAGTCCAGTGTTCATGGAACTCTAGCATGTAGTTAGACATCGTTCAGCACAATCGTTTTTCTTGTCAGAGGTGTTTGCTTCTTCCTCTGTCTAGCAGATTAGGCTTACTGGGTCAGACAGAAATTCATCTAGCCCCCTATGCTGTCCCTAGTAGCAGCATTTGAAGCCTGCATTAATGCTTCTTAGCAGTGTACACTAATTTTTGGGTTGAGGGCTTTTTGAAGCAGGTAGTACCTCTGCACCAATCAGCATGTTGTAGATTTTTGTTCCAAAGAACATAGCTAATTGTGTTTGAACCCACATGAACATACTGCTAGAGCAACCTGATATAATGAATTGAAATGTTGAGCTACATGTTGAGTAAAGTATCATATGATGTTTTAGTTACTGCACTGTGAAGAATGGTTCCTTTTCATTTTTTGTGCATTTTTTTCCATCTGTGATTTTACAGAGCTTTCTTCATAAGTCAGGCATGTTTCCTAGCCTCCTAAGTCCAAGATTTCCCCTTCAGCAGAAGCTGAAAGTTTGTCAGCTTTGCCTGTCTCTGTAACAAGTTCTCCAGTATCCTTGCCAAGGAGAAATTTCTACTGGATTTTGCATTGCAGAAGTATTTAATAAATTATTCCTGTTGGCATGCTTTTTATTATATATCATTTGTCTACGTGTTTGATTCTTTTTTCTCACAGTGTTTTTAATGGTCTGTTTTGGAAGGACATTTGCACTGCTAGCTGCAATTCTTAGGATAGCTTCTGGAATCCTTTGAAAATTGCTGTCACTTTTGCATCATTCAGTTTCCTGGTAACAGCCTTGCTTAAAGTGATGTGTTACAACCAGTTAGTAGTTCAGCAATTCCATACTTACTTTTGATTGGATTTTATAGATCTGCTGAAAACCTATTTAACAATGAACACCCTGACAGAAAACAAAGAAGAAAATACAGGAAAGATAATACATATTCCAAAATGACATTTCTAGGACAGAGGAAATAAAGTCACAAACTAATGTGGTTTTTAATTTTTTGCAGGTGTTAGGCCTTTTGCTTGTCCTCACTGTGACAAAAAGTTCAGAACATCGGGCCACCGGAAAACTCACATTGCTTCACATTTTAAACATACTGAACTAAGAAAGCTGCGACATCAACGTAAACCAGCAAAAGTTCGAGTAGGAAAGACGAATGCTCCGGTACCAGACATACCTTTACAAGAGCCCATACTCATAACTGATTTAGGTAAAGAGCAAGTAAATTCATGCTCTCTTGAGATTTGGATTTCACTGGAAAATAGAGGATACAGTTTAATCAGAGCTTACTCAGGTGCACTTTGAAATAAGTCATTGGAAAAAATCAGGCTTTGGAAAAGTGCCTTTTTTTTATAGTTTGCTTGTACTAGAATTATTGAGTAGAGTCTTTTTTATTTACAGAGAAACTGTATAATCCTTACCAGAAAAAAAGTGCATTTTTACATTACATTAGGAGAAGAGTCGAATTAGACTGTTGTTACAGAAAAGATGATGGTTCATGACCTAGATTATTCTTATGTTTATTCAGATTACATATATTAATGAGTTAGTGCGTTGTATGATTTTAGTGTATTTGTTGTAATTGACTTCAACTGAATTAGTGGTAATCATTAGTGGTAATATTTCAAAAAAGGGCAGAGTAATTCTGGAATGTGCTACATAGAGTTATTTTAATTCTGTTGTAGAATAATTGTTACAACATTACATAAACTCGTGTTTTGGAAGAAGGTAAATTGTACAACCCAATCAAGACAGTATGTCTCGTTGTCCAGTAGAGGTCAGTGTAGTGGGCAAGGCATTTACTCTTCATTGTGGTTTGACTCCTGCCTTCTCTGTTGTGTAGTCATCTTAGTATAGTAGAGTATGATATTAGTAATATCTTTATCTCATATTGATGAAATCTTTAACTCTCACTCTTTAAAGATCCTTTTGCTTTCACTGCTTCCAAGAATTACTGTATGCAAGAGAAGTGGTTATTTTGGTATCAGGTATATGAAGCTTAAATTTTCAGAGTAGCAACAAAACTTAGCCAAAAGCTTCAGATGTTTGAATCACACAATGTTTCTTTCTTGAGTAAACCCTGGAAGCAGGTACAGTCCTGTTTCTTGATTTTAAAGAAAAAGCATTCCGATACAATTGAAATCTGTGCAATGAATTTCTGGATTTTGGAAAAAACCCACAATTTAAATACTGTAAAAGTTGTTTCCTACAGGTACTGGTAGCACATGAACTCTGCTGATACTGGAATGTTCAATGTGAAAATAAGTTCCACCAGTTGTCTAGAAGGTGTCATGTTTTTCCAACCCACTGACAATATTTCCATGGTTTCCAGGAAAAAAATCTTACTTATTTTAGGCTAGTGCTAGAAACTGGCATTGTTGCTCTGTAATAGTCTTAATTTTTGAGTGACAGCTTTGAGGAAAAAAAAAGTTGATAAATATTTGGCTTCTTTTAAAAAGTTGAAATTATTCTAGAAGTCTGTTAAGAGGTCTGCAAAATGTTATGTTTGTTTCATTTTATTGCATCAGTTGATGGTATTCATTGACTAGAAAATGCAAAAATTTATTGTCATTTTTCTAGCATGTCCTGTGGTTCCAAAGATGGAACTGATAGGAGAAGGAGTATCTTTTTATTGAGTGTTCCACTTGGAACTATTTTACTGATTTGCCATATTGAGTGTAGAGCCACCTTTAACTATTCTAACAGTTTGGAGAAATGTTTCATTTATCTGAGTTGAGCAGGTTGAGTAAACAGATTGGAAGTGTTCTATTAGGAATTTCTGTTATTTCTGTTATGTATGTTGTAAGGGATTTCTGCAGTGCTTCTTCAGACCAGAACCAGTGTAACCTGGGATATGCTTACAAGTTAGCCGTCATTTCTTCTAAGAGTTAACCGAATTACTCTGCTTTTATGTGATCAAGAATAACTTGAGAGCAAATATTTGTCATACAGAGTTTCTTTTCTTCTGATTTGGAGGATTTGTATCATCTCCTGTATGCGTCTACTAATTATCATCACAGAAGAATGCCAAAAGGAATTCAGAAAGTAGGGTTGTGCGTTTGGTGGGGGGTTTTGTTTTGTTGGGGTTTTTTTGGTGGGGTTCTTTTTTGTTTTTTTTTTTTTTAAGGGCAGATATTTTTATTAGACCAGCAGAAGTTGGGGAAGATGAAGGAAATTTTGGCATATATGTATTTTTATATATATGTAAAAAGTATTATATATACACATAAACTTTTTGAAGTCTGGGACATGTAAACTTGTTCTTTTTTCATTGTTGCCATCTCTTCTCAAAATTGAGAGAATTTCCTTGTCTTCTGCTCTTTTCAGTTGCACTTTGAAGTCAGCAGAAACCCCTTGGGCATTCCTTTTTGAATATGAAATGTAGCATGCTAGATGAAGTAGCCTGAAAAAGGAAGAGAGAGCATAAAAGGAAAACCTTAGAATCATAAGGGATCTTCTGCATATTTGTTGAGATTTTGTATCACTCCTTTAGCCTTGTGTATTAGTATTGAGATGAGTACTTTTCACAGATGTATGAATGATGAGTTTGTTTACCTGAGAAATCTGCAGCTGTTCCCATTCTGTCATGGTGCTTGGGATGATGCCTTTCTGCTGGCTGCCTTCTGAGACAGACAGTGTACTCTTGGATTATAAGTTGAATGTTTAGTAGCAGGAACTTGTAACTGATTTTCCACAACTACACTTGAATGACTTCAGGAACCAGTGTATAAAGAGTATTTGATAATAATAAGTTTTTGTAGGTACCCAGAGAATTAGCAAGACTGATTAGCCAAAGTTGATTATGTACAAATGCAATAAATTTTCATTGTTTCTTTTTTTTTTTTTTTTTTTTTGCCTTTAAGTAAAGGCAAGTATATGTATCCTGGTATTTTGTACTTTTCACAAAATGCATATGAAATATTTGTCAAATTATAATGTGTATCTGGGGTACGTTGACCAAATGACATTTGCTTAAGGTGGAAGTTGGTAGAGCGAAACTGGTTAGCAATAAATTTGTAACCGTCAACTTTAAAAGAAGTTAATGCCTGTTTTGGACATACGTGAGGCTTAATGTAATGAGGTGGACCTGTGGATAAAAGAGCTATCACTAAAATAGACACCATGTACAACGGAATATATATAATGCTAAATAGATGCTGAAAGCATCCTGATTTTCTTTATATTCTTGCATACTAAAAGTTAAGTCACTTTTTTCAAATTTAGCTCTTCAGACTACTGAAACTTTGGAGTAACTTTGCAAATTTTTCCTTTATGTGTGTGTTTATGTGCGCAGGTCTTATCCAACCAATCCCAAGGAATAGCCAGTTCTTCCAAAATTATTTTAACAATAATTTTGTCAATGATGGAGACAGACCATACAAATGTTTTTATTGCCAACGAGCCTATAAAAAATCTTGCCATCTTAAACAACACATCAGGTAAAATAAATACAAAGAAGAAAGGAAATTTATGTAATGCATTTATGGAAATGTATGAAATTTGTGTAATTTCCACTGAAAAGACTTCTCTTTTTTACCATTGCTTAAGTAGTGAACCAGTGATAATTGATTCTTCTGGTGAAGCTGGAGGAGGCTTTGGACTAATTCATACTTACGTGTAGTCCTAGCAGTACAAGGCTTACTTCCATAGATGTATATTGGTAGCAAAACAGTTATCTGTTATACTACTTTATTATGGCACTTTATGTGGTGGTCGTAGCCTTCTAAGGCTACTGTAATCGTAAGCCATCCCTGATTTTTCCCAATTTTCTTGAAACTTGCTTCCTTTATCTTCCATTTCCTAGCATTCACATTGCCTTCCTCTGAACTCTCACTTCTGGGGTGCTAAACTCATAACCCTTAAAATTCTCATTGCACACTCCACAATTTTCTAACCTGTCCATGAGTCTGTTTTATATCTCGATATAGTCTGAATGGGAAATTACTCTAGCACCTCTGGAAGGAAGGATATAGTGAGTGGGACATACTGATAAAGAGTTTACCCACTTGAATATTACTTTCACAGTCTGAAAGACCGGTTGTACTGTACCTGTTCAGGGGGTGTTCAGGATGGGCACAATTCTTTTCCCAAAAGCTTTGTTATTAAATGTAGTAGTAGTAGTATATAATATGAGGAGGACTGGATATTTTTTTTTCCCCACAAAACTTCTGTGGACATTGTTTTAGTGGAACTGAAGAAAATACATGTGAATGACAATAACTAGTCTGAAAACCTAGTATATTATCTGGCATGGAAAAAATCACCCCAAGTGTTTTAATTAGGGCGAACTATGATCAGAAAAGGAGATTGGACTGTAGAACATAATTAAAACTGTCAGACAGTATTGCTTTGGACATGCTTCTGACTAGCATCACAGTCCTGCTAATGATGACATGCAGATTGTTTATTAAAGCTTTAATTTCTGGATTTTCTTAACTGAGTTTTTTTCCATCCATACAGCAGTCGTCTTAATTTGGTTTATTTTGCTAATTTTAAAATTAGTCTTTTAATAACTTCATAAATCAAAATTTTAAATCTACTTTAACTTCTGCTTTCTCTTAAAAAGGTCACATACTGGTGAAAAGCCATTTAAGTGCTCTCAGTGTGGAAGAGGTTTTGTGTCAGCTGGAGTTCTGAAAGCACATATTAGAACACACACTGGATTGAAAGCTTTTAAGTGTCTTATATGCAACGGGGCCTTCACTACTGGTGGTAGCCTCAGGCGACATATGGGGATCCATAATGACCTTCGACCATACATGTGTCCGTATTGTCAAAAAACATTCAAAACATCACTAAACTGTAAAAAACACATGAAGACTCATAGGTATGTTTACAGTGTATTTCAGTACTCCTTCCGTAAAAACTTGGAATTGCTCTGTAGCAAATGCTTGTAATTGAATAAGGATGTTTATAGGTACCAAACACTTAGGTAGCTCCAAAGGTAGAGTAAATTATGGTGTAAAATAGAAATTTATTCATGTAAATAGTTAGGATAACTGTCTTAACTGTAGCCATAAAAAGACCTTATCTTTTTTTGCAGATATGAACTTGCACAGCAACTTCAGCAACATGAACAGTCTGCCTCAATAGATGATTCTACGGTAGATCAGCAGAGCATTCATGTTTCTACACAGATGCAAGTGGAGATTGAAAGTGATGAGCTACAGCAGTCAGAAGCTGTTGCAACAGATCAGCAAGCTATTTTAGAGTTAGACCAACAGCCAGTAGTAGGCACGGAAGAAACAGCACTAGAACAACAATTGACTGATCAGCCTTTAGAACAAGATGAGGGTGAGTATTTAAAATACGATAGGTTTATAATGAGGTAATTTACAAGTTCTCAAATAACAAGTTCTCAAATTAGTCTGACTTCATAAGTTGCAATACAATGCAAGGGAACAATTAGGAAAACAGAGTAGAAACTACCTACTTAAAGTGTATTGTACAATTTCTTTCTTTCATTGGTGTTTACTGTTAAAAATAAAAAGACTGTTGAAGGTTTGCACCATTTAGTGTGTAATGAGTTAATAAGTACTACAGAGGAATATAGATAAAGGCTACAATAAACAAAGATTTAAATACCTACTCAGCTAACTTTTAAAAATTATTTTTTAATGCAGTAAAAATTCAAATGACTCTAAAATGTTGGGTTTTGAGAACAACCGAATTGTGTAGTTAATGCTGTTAATGAAATAATTTTTTCTTGATATTTTTTTCCTTCTTTCCCCCCCCTTCTTTCCCAATTTCAGATAGATTTGTGACATCCCAGCATGCTTTACAGGAAAACATCACTCAGTTTGAACAGCAAGCTATAACACAGCAGCCATTTGATCAACAGGGCTTATCACAAGGTTAGTAATAAATAAAGGTTTCTAAAGCAATTTCTATAAATCTGGCTTTACAGCATAGTTATCAAAACATTTCAGACTAACCGCAATGCAGAGAACTTGCAAAACCAGGGTTTATAGTTATTTCATATAGGCGTTTCATATTCTTTCCTTAACTGGGTTTGAAATTGCTGTGGCAGTAGGCAGTTTACACAACTTTCCCCCTAAGTATACATCCTTTTGTATTTTATAATGCTACATAAGTAATGAATTAAGATATTGTAAACATTTGGAAACTTTTCTCCCCTACAAAATATTGAAAAATGTGTAAGGCTTATGTAGCTTGCAGAGGATGAAGAAATAAATGACTGTTCCTTTTGCTTTTCACAGATGGATTTCTTGAGTTGTTTGACATGAAGCTACTAGTTTATATGTGGTTTGATGGGGTTTTTTTTTGTTTGTTTGGTTTTGGGGGGGAGACAGGGCAAGGAAGAGGGCTTTGTTCAAGGGCATTTCTCACTGTCTAGCCAGTTGATCTTTCTCCTTGTTTCTGACTCTAGCAAATAGGTCCATGTTTATGTAACTGATGAATCAGTAACTGGTATTCCATCTGCTTAAACTTCTCTGTTCTTAATTTCATTCCCTGTTTAATTGTGTAGGATCTTTTGTAAAAACGTAATTGACTGCAATCAGTTGCAAGACACTGAAGAAACAGTATAATTTGCTGCTGATTCTGATTCTCTAGGTTGTGCTGCTTTTTATGTAACTGAGGAAAAAACATAAAACACTCTGCCTTCATTAAACAAGACTGAACCTGGTCCTGTTAAAACCCCATGGATTGCTTTCATTGGTTAGCTTTTACAGTTTTCCAAATGTATCAGATGAGACTACAGGAAAAAAAAAGTGCAGTTTTTAACTGTTTCTCTCAAGAGTGGGTTGTGGGTTTTGTTGGGTTTTTATGGCTCCTTTGAATTTGAAAATCCAATATGTAAACCACGTTTTGTTATCTTATTTAGACTTCAGTTTCTATGTATGTGTATCTTCTCCATTAAATAACTGTTGAATACTGGGTGATTTCTTGGGAGGAGACTCTTCTAGATCTCACAAAACAATTTTTTCATCATCAGAAATCTGGGCTGATCATCGATACATTCTAAAATTGGTACAGAGAATCAGAACATTTGTGGTGTGTGGTTTTGTTTTTAAGTCTCATTTGTATAAGATGTCTCCTATTCTACTTGGAATCTCATCCACAGATTCCCAACTCTTTGAAGTTTTCTTGAAGATCCTGGAGCCCTTCAAAATTTTTGAATTTCAGGTAGGTAAGCATTTGCGCGGATGCATGCGTTAAATTGGTCGACCCTCTCCCTATGTCTGCATCTGTGCTTCATGCTCCTAATTTCTTTTTCCTATCAGCTAGGCAGAACATTCAAGCTTAAAACACTGTATCTTTTTTATTCTTGGTATTTTTAGGCTGTAATCTCATTAAAATATTTTGACTCCGTGTTTATTAATAAAACAATGTAGGAGTTTTAAAAAAAATCTTCAGTAGGTTTATTTTTCTTTCTTCTGTTTTTAAGAAAAAAAAAAAATGTTTTCATTTCAGACAGATGAGGCTGATCTCTAGATCTGCACAGACCTGTCAGAATTTTGTTTATTCTTTCAGATTTGTTTGTAATACTTCTACAGAATTTCTGGTTTGTTCAGAAAGATTTTCTTCTTGATATGCTCAGACTTGTGAAGAAGGGCAGATCTCGTGAAGGTGCTGCTGTATCATAATTTATTATTCATTTGAGCTAGATTTGAAAACTGGGAGGAAGGACTTGCGTTCTTTGTAGTTTACATATTCAGATGTCTTCATTTGAAGACCTTTTAGTGAAGTCAGAACAACCAAATGGATCTTTTATCAGAAAATGTCTTCGAGTTATTGAATTACCATCTGTCAACAAATATGTTTTTGTATAGATTGTCTTCCTTTTAAAGTCTCCCTGTAGGCATGGTTGAATGTTAATAATTAGTTAGCGGTGATAGGACAATGGTCTTGAAAAACTATAAGAAATCCAGATACTGTTATTCTTCAGCCCATACAAATATACCCTTTCCATCAGACTGCTGGGTTGTTATTTTATTTTTTCTTAAGAAGTTGATCTGCAATCTCAGGACTCAGAATTCCAGTTCTTTCAGTAACTACTTACACATTGATTCAGCTGGGTCTAAAAGTTGCCTAGGAAGCAAAGCTGCAGAACACTGAATTGCTAGTGACTGACCTTCACTGAGATGCATATAGATACGTTTCTAATGTTAGAAGTCAAATGATCCGTCAGTAAAGACTTCCAAGTTTGTCTAAACTAAGATACGGTATTTGCTATGAGCTACCATGCCGTTTTCTCGTACTCATGTTCCAAGACATACTTTTCCAATAGTAAACTGATTTGCAGTGTAATCTATATTTTTAGTATTTGTTAATGTAGAAAAGAATAGGTTGGGAGGCAACGAAAAACAAGCAATGCAAATGTTTGTACTGAAATAACACAAAATCCAGTTGCAAGTTTACGGGACTTTGTAGTAAAAGACTCCCCTTACTATACAGAGCTTAAGATGCTCTTTGTTCTTTGAAAGTTAACCAAAAGCTTCTGAGAAACAATATATAATGATGAAAACAAGAGCGGAAAATGAAGTTACTGAAATGCATTTTTATCTCTCTCAGACTAAATGTCTGGGTTTTGGTGTTTGGTTTGGGTTGTTTTTTTTAATACTGCAGTGTGGAAATAGTATGCTGGTACCAGATTCTTTTAGCATGCTCAAAATTGTCAGATCATTTTAAAATTTGAATGGAAATTGACCTTCATACTAGGGCAAAATGGGGAAGCGTCATGTATGTGCTTGTTACGGCATTGGTTTATATTTATTCCAGAACTACTTTTAGAAGTAGTATTTCTTTCTTCAGTTTGCCCCAGATACCTCTAAATTCAGAATTTTTCTTCCGAGCATTTTGTTGCATGAGTCTGGGAAATTTTGCAGGATGCCAATAATTGCTTTTAGTGAAACACAGTGAAGTGAAACAGGTCATAGTACAGTGACTTCTGTTTTCCTCCTTAGTTAGTAAAAATTACTTAAGAGTTGAAAAATTGCCATTTTTTAGGTAGCTGTTTCTTTGTACATTTAATGGTTACGTCCCTTTTTTTATGTAGGACATGGAAGTTATATCACTTCCTGCTGTAGTTTCTCGAGGCTTGGTTTTCTGTGTTCTCATCAAGTGTAGTGTGAATCCTATTCTTCCATAAAGGTACTTTTAAAATGCATTTGAAAACAGAAATTAGCAGCCCTCTTATCACGGTAAAGCTTTGCATCACTATTCTTAAGGCTACTTTTTTGATTTGTCATTTCACTAAAAGTAATTGAGGTGCAAGGTTCAACTTGTTGAATCTTTACTTCTTGTAATCTTGGTAGTTCTAGGAGACAAAATAATACACAAGTTGCCGCATTAGGATAAATTACAACCTGACTAATAGTGCTTTCAAAATTTGTTTACATCTGTTGGTTTTCATCCTGTGGTATAAGCAAGAGCATACAAGTAGGGTTTTTTTTTTTCCTGTATCAGTAACAGTATTCATGGGCTGTGGAAAGTGTTTTTTGGGAAAATTTGTGCTTAAACTTAACACATCCCAGGTTTTTATATACTGTAATTCATACTGTTCTTTAAGCATTGTTTTTTGGCCTTTGATACTGTGATCATCTGATGTGGGTTTGTTTCTGCCCTGTTTTCATAATCTTCATCCTTATTGTCCACTAAAGGCAAACTGCACAGAAAGAATAAAATTGCTGCCCTTATTTCAATTACTCGTACTTATGGTTTCATTTTTTTTCCACATAACATTGGTTTATTATTTTTTTTTTTTAATAGAAGTATTAGGGCTTAGAGGGGTTGATAAAAGGACACCTCTGATATCATTAAAAACCCCTGCAATTTGAGCTATACTTTCCTGGCTCTGAATCATTGATGCTATAATTTCATTCATTTGTTTAGAAAAGGAGGTGATTAAGATCTGATATTTCAGAAGAACAAAACCAAATAACATTTCAGGTTTTGATACTGGAAATGTGAATAAAAATATATGATTATTTTTTACTTTGCAGTTTGCCTTTGAGAGGCTCTACTTTACTATTATCTAAAGAGTGGGAATATGTGGAGGAGATCCATAGTAGGAGAAAAAGGGGTTACTTTATCAGAAACTGGAGTTCTCCTATTGGGTCATCTCCTCCACTCACCCGCCATCCTCCCCACTGAGCTTTGCATCCTTGTGATCGGCTTTCAGTGTAGTTAAGGGAGCGTGGTACCAACGTGGATAAAGGGAGATGGGTCAACCTGTTTGACACATGCATGCTTACATACAAGAAATTCAAAATTTCAATGGCTCTAAGGTAATTGTGGCACCCTGAAGAAACTTCAAACAGTGTTTTTCTGTGGAGGAGATTTTCCAATAGAATTCCAGCTAATGGTAAGTAGCCCTATTATGCATATTATGTAGATGCCAGAAATATTCGTGTATTTTGACACTCAACAGTGAAGAGTATAAAATAAGTATTACTGTATGGTAATACCACTTAATCTATTTTGAAGGTAGTCTTCGAAAATATGTGGTGTTATTCAAAATCCAGTTCAGTGTGTTTTCCAGGTTTATGACTCTTCGATTTCTGGCAGGTTTTACAGTGAATGATAGCTACAATCAACAGACTCAATTTCCAGCTGTACAGCAGCTGCAGGATTCAAGCACACTTGAATCTCAGGCTCTTTCAACGAGTTATCATCCACCAGCCCTTCTTCAGGTTCCAAATACAGACACTATTAATGTAGTAAGTACTGCTGGAAGGCAGAATTCTGTGTTCAGTGATGAGTTTCTTTGAACTATTTAATCAGTAATTAGGCAACCTTAAAAGTCAGAAAAGTTTTGTGGTATCTTTTCTAGATTGCTTATGTTTAACAACTGGAAAATCAAAGGGTGGGTGGAGGATAAGTGACCTTGTTACATGTTTCTAAAAAATGAGTTGTACATTTAGATTCTTTAGCCTTAAAAAAGAATATAGTGCTGTAAAGTTGTATTGCAAGTCTAAAACTAAGGAAAAGACCTAATGTTATAAAAGAATTTTACATTATTGCACTATATGCTGTCCTGGTTATTGAGTTCATATTGATATAGATATGATCAAGCAATAAAAATAACATCAAAATGTGTAGTGATCAATCATGGAGCTTGCATATTGCAGTTTATGGTATTCTATTGTCATTCTCATTTGGTTAAATCTATAGAAGAACTTAATTGCTAAAAATACAGCTTAAATACAACTTTTTATAATGGTAGCAATACCTAGCATAGTGAACATCTGTAGTAATGTGTTTACCATGATGACCTGAATGAATTATTGTCCTTTCATGCTTGTTTGTAAAGGACAGATGTCAGTTAGAGAACTGAAGTGGATTTTAGGATCTGGAAGAGCCTACAGGCTTTGCGGTTTTCTTAATTTTAAAACATGCTGGCATTCTCGAGGATTATTCTGTCATGGTTTATGCTTAAAAGGAGAATCTGTTAAAAATATAGTGAAGTCTCAGCAACACTGTGCATTTTTATATGTAGCATGGGGCTCTGTACTGTTTAAAATGGCTGCTTCGGTGTTAAATTTAACCCCTCAAACACTAGAAAATCTGCAAGACTTGGGACATGATTCACAGGGAGGTGTAAGTGCATCATTTTGTCTGTTTCTTCCAATTCAGCAGATGCACATTTTGCTGCTTTCCTTCTCACTATGAAGGAGTAAGATACCGTATCGCACTCTTTTATTTTTTTACAGAAATGTGTGAAAGCATAAATTTGATTACTTGTGTTGACTATGTAAGTGCTGTAATTTTTATTTGCCTGTTTGTGTGACTTTTAGTATTGCGTTACTGCAATTTACTTGACGCTTTGATTTCTAGACTACCCGCTTGATACAAGACCAGTCATCACAAGAAGAACTTGAACTGCATGCCCAACGGCCTCATTTTCTTGAGGATAATGAAGATCAAAGCAAGCGTTCATATAGGTTTGTTATACTTCTAGGTTCTGTCACAGAACTTCTTGAATATTTTATGGGTAGTAATTATATGCAATTAATGAAAACAATTTTTTTCTAATAGGTGTGAATATTGCAACAAGGGTTTTAAGAAATCCAGCCATTTGAAACAACATGTACGATCACATACTGGTGAGAAACCTTATAAATGCCAACTCTGTGGCCGTGGCTTTGTTTCCTCAGGAGTTCTTAAGTCACATGAGAAGACCCATACAGGTAACAGCGTATACTAGCTCCATATTAGCCTAAGTTACATTTGGGTTTTGTATATATCCTGTATAAGTAAACTTAAATGGCATGCTACTTATTTGTTTCTGTTACTTCAAGGAGTTAAAGCATTCAGCTGTAGCATTTGCAATACCTCCTTCACAACTAATGGCAGCCTTACCAGGCACATGGCAACTCACATGAGCATGAAGCCTTACAAGTGCCCGTTCTGTGATGAAAGCTTTCGAACAACTGTTCACTGCAAAAAACATATGAAAAAACATCAGGCGGTCTCCTCAGCTGTAGCAGCAGCTACAGAAACAGGAGGGGGAGGTAAATTATTTCAATTTTATTCTTACAGTCCTTACTACATAACAAGTACAGATGTTTCAGTGGATTATGTGAATTCTTTAACAGTAATGTTAAAAATTGGCCTTCCAGAATGGATAATGTCTAATATCCAGAGCCACTGAAACTGCTCTGTTATGTAAATTGTTTAAAGAAATCAGTTTTCCAGGAGTCTGTCCAGTGTATTCAAGGTATTGTACATTAAATTGTTATTTTAGTGTGTCACGAACGTAGAACTTAATTTTTTTTTGTGCTAAATTACTTATACCTGTATTTAATTACTGTAAAAATCAGAATTATAAATCCAGCTTTATTTAAAAGAAGTACAGACATGAGGAGTTAGACCTCTGAAAGAGATTTGAGTCCAAGCATGTAATGTAGTGGCCAGGTGTTTATTATTAAACCCTTCTATTTTTGTCATTTCAGCTGACAGATTAAACTAAACAGACATGTGCTGTTTTGTTTTGGGTTTGATTATTATTTTTTTTTAAATAGTTGCATGTGAAGATGATGATGAAAACTCTGAAAGAACATCCAGAAAATCTCGTCCTGGTGTCATAACTTTTACAGAAGAAGAAACAGCAGAACTGGCGAAGATTAGGCCTCGAGAAACTGCCACTGTCTCAGAAAAGGTTCTTGTCCAGTCTGCTGCAGAGAAAGACAGAATTAGTGAGATCAAAGATAAGCAAGCAGAACTGGAAGCTGAGCCCAAATATGCCAACTGTTGTAGTTATTGCCCCAAGAGCTTTAAAAAACCCAGTGATTTAGTCAGGTAAGGAATGGAAAAGTTTTGTGTATTTTCAATTTTCCAAATTGTTCTCCAGTAACCTAGCAGTAACAGTTTCATGTAACACCTTATGCCTAAGCTAAAGTTTGACTTTCATCTGTATACGTTTTTTCAGAATGATCTAAAAGTATGTTTCAAAATATTACATATTCTGAATGTGACTGAACCAGTCTTTTCATATTTCTTTTCCTGCAGTATTAAAATGATTATTATGAAGTTTTAGAGTCAGTTACTTTTTCTTGCTATAGGACTTGCATGTAAAAACATGTAAAAGTCAGTTTGAAAAAAGGCAAATACTTCAATCATCATTTTTATTAGTTCTGCTTAATGTAATGTTAATGTAAGTATTCAGTTCTGAAATTAGTAAGATACAAAATAAATCTTCTATAAACGGACATAAAAGTAGAGATTCACATATACATGTATTCTGGAATTATTAGGCATGTTCGTATCCACACTGGAGAGAAGCCGTATAAGTGTGAAGAATGTGGAAAGAGTTTCACTGTAAAATCCACTCTGGATTGTCATGTTAAGACGCACACAGGTCAGTAAGATTTTTAATGTCTTTGTTTAGGAACTGGTTACTTTCACTTTAAAAATTTTCAATTTTACTGTTTGTTCTGCTAAGTAAATTGAAAAATCAGAGTACAAAAAATGTAAGCACCTGGCTATTTGAATCGTGCATGTTGAATATAAAAAACAAATTTCTGTAATATTTAAGTTTGTACAGTATTTTCTTTGTATTCTTGAAAGAGGTCCAATTTTATTAGTAGTATTTTTCAAGCCCAATTTTCTGTAAATTAGAATCATGGAAGGGTTTGGGTTGGAAAGGACCTTAAGATCATCTAGTTCCAACCCTCCTGCCATGAGCAGGGAGGGACACCACACACTAAACTATGTCGCCCAAGGCTCTGTCCAACCTGGCCTTGAACACCGCCAGGGTTGGAGCATTCACAACTTCCTTGGGCAACCTATTCCAGTGCCTCACCACCCTCACTGTAAAGAACTTCTTCCTTGTATCTAATCTAAACTTCCCCTGTTTAAGTTTAAACCCATTACCCCTTGTCCTGCCACTACAGTCCCTAATGAAGAGTCCCTCCCCAACATCCTTATAGGCCCCCTTCAGACATTGGAAGGCTGCTATGAGGTCTCCACGCAGTCTTCTCTTCTCCAGGCTGAACAGCCCCAACTTTCTCAGCCTGTCTTCATATGGGAGGTGCTCCAGCCCCCTGATCATCCTCATGGCCCTCCTCTGGACTTGCTCCAACAGCTCCATGTCCTTTTTATGTTGAGGACACCAGAACTGTACACAATACTCCAAGTGAGGTCTCAAAATACTCCCAAGTGAGTAAAACTAACTCTTTAAATCTTTAATACTTGTTTTCATCTTACCATCAAGCTTCTGTAATAAAGTTCAGTAAACCAATCCTGAACTAATTAGTTTCTAAACCAGCCTACAGTTTTGCTGTGGTGCATTATAAGCTTTTTTAAAAAATGCAAAAAAAGATAGAAAGCTTTTAATGCTGTAATATGTAATTATTTTGCATATGGAAGCTCCCTCTTCAATTCCAGCGTATTTGTACTTTCTACTGTTGTTTAGTAAGAAATGCTACTCTTGTGTCTTATACCAGTTCTCTGTGTAATTTAGTATCTTGTCTTAGGCAGTAGTAGATGCTAAGGATAATGAAAAGGACAAAGCAGGGTTTTGATCATTTGATCATGCTCCTCCAGGTTCAAGCAGTTTGCAAGTTGTGGGACTCTCAACTAGAAATTGTACATTTTTAGTCACTACCTTTTATTGGAATATTTTTTATTATTTTACCCAGTCATTTTCTGAACCTAGAAAAACTAAGTAAAACTGAGGGGCTTCCAGTAGATCAAGCAGTAATGAATTCCTTGGTTCAAATTTGTTTTTCAGTGTGCCATTTGAGTTTGTTTGAGAAATAATGGGAAATTGTTCCCAGTTTTTCAAGCTTTTTACTGATTTTATTTCTATTGATTTTGCAGACTTTTTAATAATATAAAAGAGAGCTTTGTAAATTATTATTTCAATATCTTTAACAGATTTTTCCATCCTGTTGTTCAGCCTCTCTTCTACATTATATAGAATTTTGAGTACCTTGGGTCTTCACTCATGTGCTTAAGAGAACTCCCTTGCTGACCTTGTGACTCCCTTCAGCCTTGTGAAATTTTCCCATATAATCCTACCTTTTGTTTTCAGTCTTGTAACTATTTTCTTTAGTTCATGAAAGGACTCTTTCATCCTGTGACAACAATTGTTTTATGGTCCTTTCACATAAAACTGGTATAAAACTCCAAAAATCCAGATACAGTCTTGTCAGTGAAAATCTGGTCTCCTTCAAAGAGCTGACATGCATTTGTGAAGTGTAATTTTCACTACAAAGCTACATTTGATCATGTGGGGGTTTGGAATTTTTTTTCCATTTTCTTTCATAATTGGGCCAGCTTTTGTTGGATTAACATGAAGATTAACTGGTGTGTTAACAGTTGAGTCCAGATTGCTTTCTGGAAGGCTGTTTTAATCTGTGGGCAAAGACCGACAGCTCATAGTTCATTGGTTTTATGTTGAGCCATACTTATTTTATTTAAAAGAGCAATAAAAAAAAAGAACAGTGTGATTGTAACTCTTCTAACAGCAGTTCTGTTTGAAAAGCTATTCTGCTTCTGTTGGCTGGATAGGAACTACCTGACTTCATCTGTAACAAACACTGATGCAAAGAATTAGTTTGACATTCTACTGTAGCTTCTATTGTATCTCCACCTTTCAAAAGAGCAGGCTGGCTGGAAGTTTTTTTTATGAGATACATGGTTATATTATATGTATGAGAGATAATATATGAGATATGATCTTTAAGGCCCCTGCCAACCCAAACCATTCTATGATTCTCTGGTTTTCTGGCTGAATACTTAGCTTGTGTATCCTGATGTAGCATTATAGCAGGGTAACTGAAGTCACACAGTATTGTATTTTTGCTTGCATTACTTTAATTTCCTGTGTATGTAACAGCTGTTGTTAATGTTTTCCTTCGGAAGTCAGTAGTATGGCATAATTGTAGATGACCAGCGAGACCAGTAGGTCAAAGGAGTTGATCCTGCCCCTCTACTCTGCTCTTGTGAGACCTCACTTGGAGTATTGTGTCCAGTTCTGGTGTCCTCAACGTAAAAAGGACATGGAACTGTTGGAGCAAGTCGAGAGGAGGGCCACCAGGATGATAAGGGGGCTGGAGCACCTCCCGTTTGAAGACAGGCTGAGAAAGTTGGGGCTGTTCAGCCTGGAGAAGAGAAGACTGCGTGGAAACCTCATAGCAGCCTTCCAGTACCTGAAGGGGGCCTTATAGGATGTTGGGGAGGGACTCTTCGTTAGAGACTGTAGCGACAGGACAAGGGGTAATGGGTTTAAACTTATAACAGGGGAAGTTCAGGTTAGATACAAGGAAGAAGTTCTTTACAGTGAGGGTGGTGAGGCACTGGAATAGGTTGCCCAAGGAAGTTGTGAATGCTCCAACCCTGTCAGTGTTCAAGGCCAGGTGGGACAGAGCCTGGGGTGACATGGTTTAGTACAAGGTGTCCCTGCTCATGGCAGGGGGGTTGGAACTAGATGATCTTAAGGTCCTTTCCAACCCAAACCCTTCCATGATTCTATGAAATAAAACACACTTGATTTTACGATATTTGGAAGCAGTGCTGACTTGGCATTTGCCAATTGTGTTTGACTTCTTACCCCAATTTGTGATCATCTTCTCTCCAAGTTTCCCTTGTGGCCACTAACTCCCTGTCCTTAGATACTTTTACATTCTATTTCATCCATCTTTCTTTTTTATCAGATTCCTAGTATTTATACAGAAAGCCCAAGAGTAAGGTCATAATCTGACTGATTGAATATTTTCATGCTCTGTTTAAACAGGACTTCAGATGTTCATTTTGTTCCTCACTTTTTTTTTTTGTTTGGGTTGGTTTTGGTTTTTGTGGCTTTTGG